TAAAAGAAAATTAATAGAATTTGACCAAATTAATAGAATTTGACCAAAGTAACAGAAAAGAACAAACCAGAAAAAAAGCAAAGAAAAAAGAAAAGAAAAAAGGAAAAACATGAATTAAAAATTCCTCTGTGGTTTTGAGTGAGTTTTCTTTTAGGGCCTGTAGTATTGGAATCCACCAGATACAGGGGTGAAATAGTCACTACAAAGAACTATTTTGTTTCCACAGTCACATTTTTGGGTGTGAATGCTGAACCCTGCCCCATCTCTCCCACTGGGCATGGTTAGTCACTGGCGTACGGCCTAGAGCTGTACATACTCTGACCATTCCCACTTTTTGTGTCACTGTGTGCACTGTAAGCCATGGTTTTCTCTGCTTAGGTTTAAGAGCTGTATGTTTGGAGGTGTCCTTCTACCCTAGTGGCTCCTCTGTCCATACACCCTGGGCTGTGGCAACCACCCAAGCCAAACCATATATAGTACTTGCTCACATTGGTAGATGGGGAAGGGAAACAGACTAATGAGTTCTGTGCGGAAAGTTGGCAATGGAGCGGGCTTAATACCAGCACTTTCAGACCTACCTCCTCTTGAAAGCCACATTCTTGGCCTGGCTTCTTACCACTGGAAATGGAGTCCCCATGGTTCTTCCTGGTCTTATCTTAAAATTTTCTACCCTGTGCCCTCTCTGTAACTGTCTCTTGTTGTCATCTCCCACCCAGTCACTGTGGTAGGGTGACCCCAGGAACCCTGAAGTATGATTGTCTGTAGTTATTCTGTGGCTCATTGTTAAACAGTTAACTTCTCAAAGTGACTCCTGGTTAAACCCTCTCAAATATGGGTGGTGCATTGGATTTTTTCCTCCAACTCTAGCCTGGCTTATAGAAGGAGTCATTTTTAGAGTAAAAAAATTCCTTTTTTTTTTTTTGTTTTTGTTTTTGTTTTTGGTAGTTTGAAGTGTGGGTTTTTCTTGGAGCTGGTGCTGCCAAACCTCTGTGGGCTCACCTTGTATCCACGGGAGCCAGGTGAGCTGTCCTGAAGGCTTCAGTCTCTTCTCTGAGTTGTGCTGCTTCTCCAGCTTCTCTGTAGTTTCTAGCTCCTGTTAGTTCCCTCCTGATTCCCAGAGTTCCATTTTTTATTTTTTTTTCTTCACCAAGTTGTTATTTTCCAGGTATCTTGTTTCCAGGTCCTAGAGAGGCTGTCTTTTGCTGCTGGTCTTTGCTCTTCCATGTTGGTCTCCTTGGTGGCTTTCAGCCAGGTTTATGCTGATAATTAGGACCAAAAACCCATTTAAAGTTGCCAGAGACGGTCACCATATTTTTAGGTCACACCTCTTACACTGATTTTTTGTTCCATGCTGGATCAAACCTGGGCCTTCCTCGTGCTAGGCAACCACCCTGTCACTGAGCTGCACTCCAGGCCCTGCTTTGATAGTTTTTACAGAAATTTAAAGCTAGTTTTTGTTATGACTTGATGTATGTGATTTAACTTTTATAAAAATATGATTTGTGACACTTTTTTCCCCTCAGATTTAGGGAGTATGTCTTAGTTAGATTTCACCTGTTCCCGCTGGGAGGCATAGTCTTAATGTATTTATCCTATCCCATGCATTCCTGACTTTGGTCCTCTGGGTGTGTACGTGTGGCATTGTGGATCTCATCCAGGGATTCACACATGCTAGGCAAGCACCCGACCACTGTGTTATGTCCCTGGACCATCGTCATTGTTAACCTCTGCACACAGTAAACAGCTGAGTTTAAAATGCATGGGTTTTGTGAAGGCCTAGAACTGGTGAGAGCTGGGAATGATTCTCACATTAGTGAAGACACATTTACTGTGGGGCTAATGACAATTCTGTATTTTCTTGGGAAAAAAGCATCAAGCTGTGAAACAGTGGTCTACCGCAGAGCAAGCCGTATAACTGAAGACAGGAGAAATTACTTCCTAGCTAGATTACAGAGTGGTAGAAGCCTGGGGTGACTGATTCTCGAACCAGATTGTACTGTGCTTTAAAGCATTGGTGATTATCTAATTGTCAGTATTTATTTCTCAGTGTCTATAAAGTAGAGGTGTTTTTATTAGAGAAGTCTTATATTGATGACATACACTTTTTATTTATTTTTGCTTTTTGGGACAGGAGACTATAGTCCAGGCCAGCCTTGAACTTACTGGGTAGCCCAGGCCAAGTCTTGAACTTGGGGTGATCTACTGCCTCAGCCTCCAGAGTGCTGGGATTATGGGTGTGTGCTGCCATGCCTGGCTGAAATACGTTGTTTCAAAAAGTCAGAGTTCTTGATCTTCTAACCACAAAAGTTGTCCTTCCCATCTCAGGTTGGCATCAGCCTTGACTCATTTCTTTCCCTCACCCATCAGCTCCATTCAGTCCACAGGACTGGAACTGGACAGGTTCTTCCCCTCCACCACGGCAGTCTTCCGTGCTGCTCTGGCCTGGGGTGTCACTGACTGTTGTCTTTCTTCCTGGGTTGTATGTGGAGTCTTGATGGTATCTCTCATTTGACTAAATGTCCAGTCCTTTATTTCCAAAGTATTAATGTTTGTAATAGAACATACAGGAGAAAAACTCCCTGTCAGTAGAAACTGTGTCAGTACAGATAATCACCACTGAGCTTGATTATACTCCATAGCGTTTTTCAGAGACAGCAGAACACGCATGCATATATGCGATCGTGTGTGTATACATGTTTTTCCTATACTATTTCTTTCACTTGACAGCTTAAAGTAAGTAGTGAATGTCACCTGTGACACTGCATTTTCTTCTGTAGCATGATTTAGGGAGTATTTTTGCTGTATTGGGGGTTGAACACAGGATCTTACACATGCTAGGCAAGCGCTCTCCCACTGAGCTGTACATCGCCAGCCTCTTTGTTTTTTATTTTATTTTGAGACAGGTTCTTGCTAAGTTGCCCAGGCTGGCTTCAAACTTATGATCTCCCTTGCCTCAGTCTTCTTAGTAACTGGGATTACAGATGTGTGCCACCACGTGTGGCTGTTGGATTTTAAAGGCGATATTTCGTATCCTTTCTGGGCCTGAATAAAGACCCAAAAGGTGCTCTTCACCTTGGCCTTCCATTGTGCCATTTTGTTCTGTCTTTTTTTTTGTTTTTGTCTTTTTGAGATAGGGTCTCACTGTGCAGTTCAGGCTGGCCTTGAGCTCACTTTGTAGCCCATGCTGGTCTCGAACTTGCAACGATCCTCCTGCCTCAGCCTCCGGAGTGCTGGGATTACAGGTCTGTGCCACCATACTTGGTCTGTCTTTCTTTTTTTGACAATTCACCATGTATTTTAGCTACTTAGTGTTCAGTGTTGTTAATATAATCAGAGTGGATTAATGATTCTCTTAATCAATTTTGGAACATTTTCATTACTCTAAAGAAGGAATGCTATATTTACTAGCAGTTATACCCCATGCAACCTAAGGACTCTAGCTCCAGACAACCCTACTCTCTGTTTCTATGGATTTGCCTCTTTTGGATACTTCATTATAAATAAAATCATTGCAACATTTATTTTTTGTGGCTAGTTTCTTTACTTTGCACATTTTAAAAAGTTTATCATGAATCAGTACTTCATTCCTTTTTATGGCTGCATAATATTGCAATGCATAATAGTATACAACTTTTTTTTTGGCAGTAGTAGGGATTAAACCTATGACCTTTGCACTGAGTTATGTCCCCAGCCCTTTAAAAAATCAGTTAATTATTTTTGGTTTTTTGAGACAGTATTTTACTATATATTCACTGGCCTTGAACATTATGTAGCCCAAGCTGACCCCAAACTTGTGATCCTCCTGCCTCAGTCTCCCGAGTGCTGGAATTACAGGTATGACCCACTACACTGGCTTCCATTTTTAAATTTTGAGACAGGGTCTTGCTGAGTTGCTAAACTGCTCAGCCTGAGCTGGAACTTTTAGTCTTCCTGCCTCAGCCTTCCATAGTGTGTGCCGTCATATCTGGCTTTTATTGTATTTTTTTTCCTTTTTGCTGTACTGCGTCCATCAAAGCAGGGCCTTGTGCTTGTTAGACAAGTGCTGTACTGCTGAGCTACACCCCCAGTCTTACCACATTTTGTTTACCCATTGACCAGTTAGTAGACATTTGGATTGTTTCCATTTTCTTCTCATAAATATTTTGTGTGGGCATATGTTTTCATTTCTCTTTGGAATGAACCTCAAAGTGGAATTTCTAGGCGAAATAGCTATGTTTAGGTTTGTTTGGCTTTTGAAGGTACTAAGGATTGAACTGTGTTTAAACTGCCAAGAATTGCCAGGCTGTCTTTCAAATCTGTTATACTGATTTATAAATACTTCATAAAAGAAAGAATGGTCATGTTGCTGGGTGTGGGGGCACACGCCTATAATTCCAGCACTTCGGAGGCTGAGGCAGGAGTGTCATTGGGAATTTGAGGCCAGCCTGGGCTACAAAATGAGTTCAAGGTCAGCCTGAACTGCAAAATGAAACCCCATCTCAAAAGGACAAAAAAAAAAAAAAAAGGGCACCTTGAAAATGCTTTGTATTCATTCAGTAAATATTCGTTGAGTGTCTATGTGTGAAGTTACATCTGTGGACAGAAGAACAGCGGCACAAAACTCTACCGATACGGGGCTTATATTCTAGTAGAAGAAACAGAAGATGGAAAACATTGTAAATCAGTACCTTATGTAGTGTGTGTGAAGGTGATACATGCTCTGGGAAAATTAGAACAGGGTAAAGCGGGTTGGCATAGGACATTTCACAAAGGGTGGTCAGGGTGACCTCACTGTGAGGGTGAGAGCTGAGTAGATTTGAAGGAGTTCACTGTGTGGGTAGTCGGGGAAGAGACTGCAGGGAGAGCCAGCTTGTGCGAAGCTTGGGGCCAGAGGAGGACTGGTCTGCTTGCGCACGCAGCAGGGGGTGGCAGTAGAGACATGATTTCAGCTCCCTCTGGCAGCTGTGTGGATAAGAGATGTAGGACAAGCACCCTGGTCCATTATCCTCCCTTCTTTGCAGGTGTGGCCCACAGGGCTTTTGAGAATGATGTGGATGCCCTGTGTAACCTCCGCGAATTCTTCAACTACCTGCCCCTCAGCTGTCAGGACCCGGCTCCTGTCCTTGAGTGCCACGATCCCAGGTAGGCTGAGGCCAGGGCCCCTTCCCCCATTTGCCAGGGTGATTTGTCTTTGTCTGGGTGCATGCACGGCCGCATCTGATGGGGGCTTTGGTGCAGGCGGTGAGGCACACAATTCTGCTTTCTCAGAGACACTCTGGGGTTTCCAAACTTGGATTGGAAGGGTTTAAAAAAAACCTTTTTTTTTTTATTAGTACGTGTCTGTCATACATATTGATCACCTTCATTGTAGGGAATTTGTACCTGTACATAAATGTGTTTTTTTCCCCATTTCCCTCCCCTCGCTCAGTCCTTCTTCCCCTCCCCATTTACAAAAGCTTTCTTTCCACATTTTTCTTCTCTTCTCTTTTTTTTTCCTTTTCCCTTCCTTCCCTTCCTTCTACCCCCGTCCTTTGTTCCCCCCTGTTATGGCTTGTGTCTAGATGTCAAAAGCCTCCAGCACTCATAGGTGGGGCTCTTTTCAGAGGTGGCTGGATCTAGAGTGTGTAATGCTGGGATTTAGGGTGTCTGATTACTAAATTAGTCCACTGATCAGTTTGGCATAGTTCTGGGTGTGGATAGTGGGAAGGCCTAACCTGGGTGTGAGTGCTACGCGCCCTCAGGGCGTGTAGCCAGAGTAGAATATAAGGGACAGAAAGTGCTGTTGCTGTCTGTCATCTGTTGCCTGTTGCTTGCTACTTCATTGCTGGCTGCCTTCTGCCTGCCCTGCTTTGCCATGGACTGTTTCTTCTCTGTGATGCTCCTCTGGCATGCCACCCTTGTTGGAGCCTCATGAGTTGAACCTGGGCCCCCCACATGGTGACCCTTACTGATTCAGAGAAACGCTGAAGTCATGTCCCTACGGCCCACCTTGCAGGGAACACACCAGTGGCCTTAAGACTTTTGCTGAAGAGTCTTAAGTCCAAAGTCTCCTCTGAGGGGCTGGGGATTTAGCTCAGCGGCAAAGTGCCTGCCTGGCAAGCTCAAGGTCGTGAGATCGGTTCCGGTACTGGAGAAAAACCAAAAACAAACAAACAAACAAACAAACAAAGTCTCCTCTGAGATTTAAGGCAGACTGTTAGCTGTGAGCCCCTGAAAAGAAAGTTAAATACTTCCAACATTCAATGACACAATTTAGACATTTCTATTCCAAAAGTTACAAACGGGGATACAAAGGATTGGGGCCAAAGCAAGTCCAAAATGCGGCAGGGCAAACATTAAGTCCTGTAGTTCCATGTGCAGCATCCAAGGCAATCTGTGGCAAGATGTGAACTCCAAAAGGTTTGGGTGACTTTGGCTCTATTGCACTGTCTGTGGTTGTAGCTCCCATGGCCCCTCTCCGGGGCCCACTCTGCTCCCTCCTTGCAGCCTTCCTCAGATAATCCGTGTTCCTGGTTTCTCCAAACTTCTGGGGTCTCCACTGCCTCTTTGGCTTCACACTCACATCTTCATACACTGCCCTGTCAGGAGCACTGCCTGGCCTCCAAGGCCTTGTTCTGAAATCTGGCCCTGTTCTGAATCCTTCCTGACCTAACAACTCTTGTATTCTACATGCACCAAAACCAGTGCCAGGTGGGTGACACCACGGTCTGCTGCCAGCTGGAGCAATAGCCAGGCTTCCCTCTCTTGGCTGCCAGGGTAGAGTGCTTAGATTGCTGAGCAGTCTGAACTGAATCCCGAGGAACAGATTCTCTAGGCTACTGCCATTCTTGAGTGTGGTGCTCTGGAGTTCTCTTCTCAAAGCAAAGTTTTTCACTTTTGCAATTTTGAAGCTACAAAGGATGGAGTCCTACTGCTTCTTGTGACGGCTTCAGACTATCTTTTTTTTTATTCTATTCCTCTTAACAGTCAAGATCTCCTCTGCTCTCTCTTTGCAGTGTACAGTTTTACTGTAACTTCCTTTCTGGCCAAACTCCAAATGTTTTAAATCATTCCGCTGGGCTCTTTGCTCTTGATTCTCAACATAAATCTGGTTAAAGGCCCCCAGCAGTAGCTGTGCCACCACCTCAATATTTGACTGCCTTGAAATTTCTTCTGCCGGATTAATTAGTCTGCCACCCTTAATCTCAGTCTTAAGCAAAGCCTCTGGACATCAGAAAAATGCACACTTTGTCTGGAGTCTTTGCGGGAAATCTGGACACAAACCATAATGCCAGGTTACCCTTCCAGCAGGAGATGTGCACCCACAGCTGTTTTTGCAGAACTCTCTGTGTCTTTACGCCTTTGTTCTTTTGTTTTTAATGTCATGGGAATTTAGACTGGGATCTTCCCCGGCTATGTCTTGTTCAGTACAAGCCCTTTAGTGTCATGCAGTATCTAGGATGTGGGACATATTCAGAGGGTAGAGAAAAACCACATTCAGGGGAGTAAGCCTTGTTTTTACTCTTAGAAGAATACTTGGGCATGGTGGTGCACATGTGTAATCTCAGCACTGTAGGAGGCTGCTGCAGGAGAATCAGAAGTTCAAGCCCAGCCTGGGCAACTTAGCAAGAACCAGTCTCAAAAAAAAAAAAAAAAAAAAAAAAACTGCAGATGTAGCTCAATGGTAGGGTACCTTTAGGTTGGATCCCCACAATCTCAACAGCAGCCATCACCACCGCTACTACCAAAAACCCTTCAAAAACTGGGAAGTATTCTGGGTTGGCATTGTACATGTTCCTCTTAATGTACATCTTTGTAAGTCTGACAGGGCACAGCCAGCCCAACCCCCAAGCAGTATCTCTTCCTTTCCTTTCCCACTCCCACAGAAGGTGGCAGGCTCTTCCTATGTTGATGATGACTGCTTCTTTTCCAGCGACCGTCTGGTTCCTGAGCTTGACACAGTTGTCCCTCTGGAATCTACCAAAGCCTATGACATGCTGGATATCATACATTCGGTAAGAGTTTTGCTTGCCTGTCCTTACTCAACTGCATCCTCGTATGCTTTGGCCTAATGAGGAAGTGTTGGCCTTGGCCTCGGTGTCTGCAGAAGTGGGCATGGGGTGGGCATGGGACCAGAGGCCCCCGAATAGCATGTACTAGGAAGAGCTAGTAGCTGAGGCTGTCCTGATGGCCCAGAGAGGGAGGAGGCGCTGTCAGACTGGCAGAGCCCAGGGCTCTTTAGAATGCACTTTGAGGCACAGATTAGGGGTCATGTCCTGAATCTGGAGTGAGGTGGGGACAGTCTCCATTAGGTACTATTATAGTGTGCATCTAGATGTCCCCTCCAAAGCCTCATGTTCTCATAGGTGGGACTTTGCAGAGGTGGATGGATCTGGGGTATATGGATATGGATTATGGATGTGTGATAACTGAATTAATCCCTTGATTAGTTTAGCATAGTTCTAGGTGTGGATGATAGGAAGGCCCACCCTGGGTGTGGGTGGCTCCAACCAGTAGGCTCATAGCCTGGGTGGGACAAAAGTCCAGAAGGCTGTTGCTTGCTGCTTCCTGCCTGCCTTTCCATGGACTGTTTCTCCTCTGCCATACCACCCTGCCTTGGAGCCAGCCGACTATAGACTGACACCTCTACAAACCATGAGCTAAAATAAACCTTTCCTCCTTTAATTTTGGGGGTTAGGTTTTTTGGCTTGACACTGAGAAAGTAACTTAGATACCTCTGTTGGGGGCCTCTTAATTAGGGTACTTTGCCTTCTAGGGAAAGGAGAGTACAAAGCATGTCCTGTGATGATGTCAGGACATGTGTGGAAGTGTGGTGGGCAGGAGCCATGTGTACCTTGGTGTAGCAGATCCTGGGTTGGTAAGGAGGTGGTGCTGGGCAAATAGAGGCCTCTATAGATGCCTAATGTCCTCCTCACAACACACATTGCCCTGAGCAGTTCTTATTCCCTGGAACCCACTTAGTGGCTCTGTGTGTTCCACCTGTCCCAGAGCCTGGTTGTCCTGCTCACCTCATCCTTCTCTTCCCTTACTTTGGGGAGCTTGTGGGCATCAACATTGGTGTCCAGACCCTGCCCCTTCCCACTTCCATGATGTCTGTAAAGCTGTGAAGATCTGACCTTTATGACCTAGGTCAGTTTTCCTTCTTAGCTTATATGTGACAGAGTGGCTGTTTCAGTCAGCTTTCTGTTGCTGTGACAAAATACTTGAGATAATCAACTTGTGAGGAAGAAAAATTATTATGGGTCATGATTTCAGAGGTTTCAGGCCATGGTCCCATGGCCCTTTGCTCTGGACCTGTGGTAGGGCAGAGCTTCATGGTGTGTATCAGGAGGCAGAACTCAGCTCATGGCATCCAGGAAGCAGGAAAGAGCTAGAGTCCGTGTCCCACTCCAGGGCACCTAACTTGCTTCACTAGCCACCACCACCACACCCCCCTTGAAGGCTCTGCTGCCTCCCAATAATGCTACAGACTGGAGACAGCCTTTAGCATATGCACCTCCAAGGGACATTTAAGATCTTAATCCAAATAGTGGCTTTCAAACTCTGGCTGGCCTGGGTTCACATTCTGCCTCTAGAGGGCGGTAATGGCTTCATGCGGGGAGGATAGGAGGCTTCTTATCTGCTCTGTTGGATTGTTGAGCCAATTGAGAGGAGGTGCATGCGGCCTCACGTGGCATCTGGTTCTCAGGAAGCACTTGGTGACTGATGTTTAGCAGTGCCTGCTTTTTAGTTTATTTTGGGATAAGGGTGGCAAGTGATGTATAAATGTTTAGTTGAAACAAATGCTACTCAAAATTGGACGATGGAGAGAGCATAGGAGAATCAGTTCATTGATTGCTGTGAATCAAAAAATATTCTTAGAGACAAATCAGTTCAGGAAGATTAAGATAAACAGCAAAGGCATAATTACAAAGTAACCTCTAGATCACAATACAGATCTTCCTAAATAGTAATTTAAAACATCCCTGGGAGGAAGATTAAAATTAGAAAAATCCCCATTTGGCAGCAGGCATGGCAGTAATTGAGCCAGATAAGAATCAGCAGTGGACTAGGGTGTTTTTTTCTTTTCTTCTGGTGGTCCTGGGGATTAAGACTAGAGCCTTGTCACTGAGCTATGTTTCCAGCCCTTTTCATTTTTAATTTATTTAGAGATAGGGTCCTGCAAAATTATTCAGCCTGGGCTCCAATTTATGATCTCTTGCCTCAGCCTCCCAGAGTGCTGGGATTATAGTATGCACCAGTGTGCCCAGTGAGGACTGGATTTTTGAGGGAAGTTTGATAAAGAACAGGATTTTTATATAGTCTCAAAATATTTCCCCACGAATTACTTAATTAATTTTTTTTTTTTTTTTGGTTTTTCTCCGGTACCAGAAACCGAACTCATGACCTTGCGCATGCCAGGCAGGCGCTTTTGCCGCTGAGCTAAATCCCAAGCCCCACGAATTAATTATTAATTACATTGGAAAGATAGTAACTTTACAAAGGAGACTCCTAGCAGATGTGACCACTGTTAGCAGAGAAACTGACCGTTAGCATTTGATGAGATTCAGTGAGAAGGTTGGTCCTGTGACATTCCTGCCAGCAAGCGCTTAACCTGAAATTAAACACAAAGCGACAGCAGAGAAACCCAGATGGAAGGCACGGTCTACGCATCCTACAGATTCTACAGAGTCACTCTTGTCTTCAAAGAGGTCATGACCATAGGAAAGATGAAGCCTGAGAGAGAAAAAATTCACAGAGCTCAGTGAGGCAAGACCACTCAGAGTGCCAGGTGATCCCGGGTCAGGTTTTGGACAGGAGTTTTGTTGTTTCCATTATTACCAAGGATATTATTGGAGCAGCTGGCAGGATTTGAGTAGTGTTGTGTAATAGAATACAGTAACGTGTTAGCATTGATTTCCTGATTTTGATGTCACTCCAGTTACGTAGGAGAATGTCCTTGTCCTTAGGAGAGGTAGCGGTGAGGGCCTGAGAGGTGAAGAGGCAGCGTGTCTGTAACTTACTCTTCTTAAATGGGCCAGGAAAACAACGTGTGTGGGTGCACGTATGTGTATGAGAAGGGAGTGAGTGCCGGGGGGAGAAGGTGGAAACATGTTCATGAATGGGGCATCCGGGTGAAGGGTATATGAATAGTTTTTGTCTTGACAGTTTTATATAAGCTGGAAATGATTTCAAACTAAAAGGTGAAACAAATAGCTATAAATAATTCCAAATTCAAATTTAAAAACCTTTAATGCAAGCTGCACTACTGCACACTCAGCACACAGGACTATTATCTGTTACACAGCCATACTCAAATCTTGCCGGTTGTTTCAGTAATACCCTTGGTAGGGAAAGTAGTCTCTCCATTAAAAATATTATGGACTATCAAAAAAGTATAGCCACCTGAGTGCAGCAGGGAGGAACTGCCGCCGCCTTCTACCCGGAGAAGCTGTGGCGCGAGCTGCCCAGCTGCCCTTTTGGGTTGTATTTCTGTTGTGTACTTGTCTTTATCAGTTGCACTCAGGAGTAAATTTATTCCTACAGATTGTTGATGAGCGAGAATTTTTTGAGATCATGCCCAATTATGCCAAGAATATCGTTGTTGGTTTTGCAAGAATGAATGGGAGGACTGTTGGAATTGTCGGTAACCAACCGAAGGTGGCCTCAGGTAGGATGGGGAAGGTCTCCTAAACCTTGGGCTGGGTTTGGAGGCCAGGGCTGCCCGGGCCTGTGTGACTGTCTGCTTTCACCCTTCCCTCAGACGTGGCCTTCTGTGACCAGAGGAAACACATGTTGTAAAAGTGACTGTCTTTTAATATTAAATAACTCAAAGTGCTCCTTTCATTCGCCCCTCCCCTCCCCTTAAGGGTCTATAGATAATATTCCTCCTTAGGTACAGAGTGGTCACTTTCTAAGACACCAGTTTTCTGTCCCCTGGGTTGAATGTATGCCTCACCCACCCAGCGGTGAGCTTCATGAAGGTAGGTATTGGTGCTCCCCTCACAGCGATCTGTCCAGGACCTTCAGCAGTGCCCTGTGGGTGCTTGGTTAGTACACGAAGATGCGCAAAGGCATCTTGCTGTGCCTGTGTCCTGCAGCTTTCTGGCAACGTGGGCAGACCTGAGTCAGCTGGGAGGTGGAGACTCTTCCCTGGCTGTGCTCTGGAGGGGCTGGGCGGGTCTGGGTGGGCGCTCTGGCCACTGCTTCTCGCTTCACTATTTTCTCTCTCAGGTCTGTTTTGAATACCTAAGAGGAGGAACCAGCCTCCCTCACTGACCCAGCCTTATCTTCTGTTTTTGCCATGGCAGTTTTCCTTGTCTTTAGAAATTTTTTAAAAATATTTTTTAACATATTTAAAAAACTATGTTAACCATTTTAACTTCTGTAGTGCTGATTATACTTACAGTGTATATAGCTGTATCCTGTTTCCAAAAACTTTTCATCACCCTAGAGATGGTGCACCCATACAGAGAGGTCCATTTTCCAAAATGGGTCTACCAGTTTTATTCAGTTCTTTGGTTTCTTTCATTAGAATTTTGCATTTTCCACTTATAGATATATGTGTTTTATTAGATTTCTACCTAAGTATTGCATATATTTTGATGCTAATATAAATATTATGTTTATAATTTCAAATTCTATTTGATTTATAGGTTGTATATACATAAGTGATTGATTTTTGTATGTTAACTTTTTTTAAATCTCAAAACCTTGCTACATCCGGTAGTTTTGTTTTGTTTTGGTCAGTTTGTTCAGACAATTATGTCATCTGCAAACAATGACATTTTTATTTTTTTCCATCCTAATCTGTAGACCTTTGGACCTAACAGTAGAACATTGAAAAGCAGTGCTAAGGGGACATTCTTGCCTTGTTCCTGAGCTTGGTGAGAAAATTTCTGGTTTCTCACCATTAGGTCTAGTGTTAGCTGTGTTTGGTAGCAACTTTTTATAAAATTTAGAAGTTCCTGTCTTTTCCTAGTTAGCTGGCAGAGTTTTTAAAAATCAGAGATGGGCATTGAATTTTGTCAGATGCTCTTCCTGCATTCATTTATATGATCAGTGGCTTATTTTTTTTTTAGCCTTTTTTTGGGCTGGATTCCATGAATTACTTTTCACCAGTTGAACTAGCCTGTATACCTGGGACAAACTCTACTTGGTTGTGGTATATAATTCTTATTAGAGATTAGTTCTTAAAATTTGATAATATTTTGTTGAGTTTTTCACATACGCTCATGAGTGATACTGAGTTGCAGTTTTTTTTTTGTTTGTTTTTTGCAATGTCTGTCTGCTGTTGGTCTCCTAGCCTGTGTTAGGAACTGTTCTCTCTGCTTTTCTCTTCTGGAAGAACTTGTAGAGAATTGGTAAAGTTTCTTCTTTAATGTATGGTAGAATTCCCCAGTGAACCCATCCAGTCTTCATTTATTTTTTAAATATTGTAGGAAACAAAAAAAAATAGAATTAGAATCTGAATACCTTAATAGTGTTTTTTTTTTTTTTATATATTTGCCTTGTAGTTACTTGTACTGGGTCTGTCTGTCCCTCTGTCTCCCTGTCTCCCTTCTTTTCTTCCCCTCCTCTCCCCATACAGCTTTGTATACTGTTTAGTGGCCTTTCTTGTCAACCTGAACTCACCTCTTCAGGAGTGTGGGTAGAGCATTTCTTATAGAACACGTCTGGGAATAAGCTCCATTACTTTTGTGTATCTGTGAATGTCTTAATTTACAATTCTTCCTTCATTTTTGCAGGACAGTTTGCCAGACACAGAATTTATAGTTGATTGTTTTATTCATTTAGTATTTAAAATATATCATCCTCTATATTCCAGCCTTCAGGGTTTCTGCAGTTACCAGTTGCTAATCTTAATGAGGATCCTTTGTAAGGGATGAATCACTTTTCTCTTGCTGTTTCAGGATTGTCTTTTGACAGTTTGACTATAATGCATCTCAGTATGAGTCTCTAAATTTGTTCTTGGAGTTGGTAGAGTTTCTTGTCTTGCATCAAATTTGGGAGGTTTTCAGATGTTATTTCTTCAAACTATCTCTTTGCCTCATTCTCCCATCTTTTCCCCCCTTTGGCTTCCCATGCTTTATAAGTTTGTTCACTTGATGGTGACTGTAAGACCCTTACGCTCTGTTCACTTAATTTTTTTCTCCTAAGGGGCTGGGGATCTAGCTCAGCGGCACAGCGCCTGCCTGGCAAGTGCAAGGTTGTGAGTTCGATTCCTGGTACCTGAAAAAAACCAAAAAAAAAAAAAAAGTTCAATTTTTTTCTCCTGCTTCTACAACAGGATAATTTCAGTTGTTTTATCTTCCTGCTCCTTGACCTCTCTTCTGCTTACTCACTTCTCCTGTTGAACCCCCATTGTGAATTTTCCATTTCAATTATTGTATTTGTGTGTGTATATATATATATAATTTATTTATTTATTTATTTTTTCGGTACCGGGAATCAAATTCATGACCTCACACTTGCCAGGCAGGCGCTGTGCCGCTGAGCTAAATCCCCAGCCCCAGCTTCAGAATTTGTTAGCTTCCTTTTATACTTTTCTGTCTCTGTTGGTCTCATTTGGTTCATACATTTTTATAACTTCCTTCAGTTGTTTGTACATATTTTCCTTATTTGAATATACTGAAGATTGTTTTGAAGTCTTTTTCCATACAAGGTCTTTGCTTCCTCCAGAGCAATCTTTTATTTGTTTATTTTGTTCATTCAAATAGCCATACTTTCCTATATTATTTGTGCTTAGTGGCCTTGTTGTTATGACTATGATACTATGCTAAGTCTGGCAATCACATTTCCCCCTTTCGCAGAGTTGTTTATCAAACTGTTGAATGTTGTAGGGGTCCGTTTGTCCAGCATCATTTCACAATTTTTTTCCAGAGACTGTCTTCTCCATCGTGTGTACTGATTGAAGTCCATATGTCTTAGTTTGTGTTCACCTAGTGTTGTGACAAAAGCTTCCTTGAACACTAAGAGCTGAAACAAATTTAAAAAAAAAACAGACCAAAATAATACATCTTCTTGTCTTGAAAATTGGCTTTGTGTTGGAGCACTCCTTTCATGCTTAGCCAGACTTGAACTGAGTTTTGGGATCAGCCGTAGGTTAAGGTTTAAGGTCTTGTGTCTTTTATTGTGTAATACTATGTTTTCACTTGCTTCCATCTCCGAGTATTTTGTACTTTTCCCTTCTAGGTTCTTTTCTGGTTGTGTATCTGGGCCTAGGCATACACATGTTTTGTCTAAATTCCCCTGAACACACAGATCCTTTGAATGTACTAAAGTTCCTAAAGAAACTTCCTTCTTGGCACTTTCTTCCAGGCTTTAGGTGTTCTCAACCATAGTCTTTCGCCCCAAACATCTGTAGGTCATTCTCTGGCTTAAGATGGTTTTGAGCAGTGCTCACCACTTTTCCAGCCTGGGTGAGTTCCAAATTTGGCAAAACAAATGTCTCATGTCAGTCCTTACAGGCTAGAGCAGACCAACACCGTAATTTATGAGTAGGTTTTGCCCTGCATTCTTTAGAACCAGTGAGAGAGGTAAGTTTAATTAAAGAAACCACAAACTGTTTCCACCATTTAAACTCCCCCTCATTTAAAAATTTCCTTTTTCTTAATCTGGCATTGACTTGATTGTTGTAAACCTTTGCTTATTTTCCAGACCTCTGTCAAAGATTGTTCTGACAGTTTTTCCATATTTCTGTTGTGGGATAGGAGCTTTCATCTTCCTACTCTTACATTTTATGTTTAGAAAAAGCATCTAACTGAGATTTCCAACATTCAGAATGCATTTGTTATAATACAGTAAAGTGCATAGTTCTTAAGGCTCATTTTGATAGGTTTTGCCATTTGACAACTGTATTATACCCTTGCAGCCACCCACCTAAAACAAGCTGTAGATATTTTTATTCCAGAGCACATTCTTAGCTGCTGGGAGTGGTGGCATTTGCCTATAATACCAGCATTCAGAGACTAAGGCAGGGAGATTGCCAGTTCAAGCCCAGCCTGGGCAACCTAGTGACTCTGTGAGACCCTGTCTCAAAATAAAAAAGAGCTGGAGATGAAGCTATGTGCAAAAGCTTTTTGGTTCAATCCCCAGCAAAACAACCCCTTTCCCAAGTCCATTCTGAAGGAGTTCTGCATTTATTATTATTATTTTTTTCTTATTCACCTTTTATTGTTGGTTTCTAGGATTTGCTACATATTTTGGGTATGAATCCTTTGTAGATATATGTACTGCATTTTTTTTCATGGTCTGTGACTTGCCTACACTGTGGTGATTTTTGTATGAGTTTAAAAATGTGATGAAATCCCATTTATCAATGTCTTCACTTATGGTTAGAGCTTTTTGTGTCCTAAGAAATCTTTGCCACTCTTAAGTTTGTAAGATAAATCTCATGTTATCTTTTAGGAGCTTTGTACTGCAGCTATGGGTTTTATGATGACTTCTTTGATTGGTTTTGAATTAATTTTTGTGTCCTAAAGAGGTAGGAGGTGGCTTTTCCCCCCCAAAACCAGGTAATTTAGTTGATCCCTATTTTGTTAGAGACTTCCATATTGAAGTTTCGGTACTTGGTTAAAATCTTTTGTGTGGATCTGTTTCTTTACGTTGTCTTGTTTCTTTGTTATTTTTGTTTGCTTTTATGCCTATCCCATCTTGTCCTGATTACTGTAGTTTTATGGTTTTTAGCCTGGGGCGATTATGGTATCTTGAAGATGTCTGGCTATATTGGAAATATTTTTGATTGTCACAGATCGGGTGGGAGGCATGATGGTGGTTTTTAGTGGGTGGATGCCAAAGGTACTGCTAAACATTCTGTATGTACAGGACAAACCCCAGCATTAAAGAGTTACTCGGCCCCAAATGCTGGTAGTGCTAAGGTTGAGAAACCTGCTTTATAAATGTTGGTGTCAGTCAGTATAAGTATCAATTTTTTGTGTTTCCTTTTTTTAAAAATACTGGTTTGGTCCTTTTGTCTCCTTTGTATTACCTTGTGGAATTTGGTTATCTATTTCTACAAATGAATCTCCTGTTATTTTGCTAGGAATTGTTTGAAAGATCTGTGCATAGTGCTGCCTGGTATGCTAGTTTAGATTTATACTTTAAATACAAAATAATTGGCAGAGGCTGTGGGTTCAGTCTCCACTATTGGACACAGAACAAAGTGAATCCAAAATAATTAAAATATTATAAATAATTCAAATTCAAATAGAATGTGAAATTCGAAAGGAATACAGTTAAAAATTTACTTCCTCAGCAATAAGCATATCAAAGGTGCTCAGCAGCTGTGACCAGTGGTCAGTGTTCATAGCCGGAGAATATTCAGCGTCACAGAAAGGGCTTTTCAGTAGCACAGGTTTAGGTTATTGGTAGAGAATGGGTATTTTAATATTTATTCTTCTGGCTCGTGTGCATAGAAGATTTTTTTTGTTGTTATTAGGTTTTCCTTTTTTTTTCTTTAGATTCTTGTATCATATTGCAAGAGTTCAATCCTAGTCTTCATTTTAACCTAATCTTTTTTAAACTATGAGTAGGTATTGTCTTCTATCAAGTTTTTTTTCTCTACATCTACTAAAATGATCATAGAGAGGCTTTTCTCTTTTATATAATAATTTTATTGGCTGTCAGACACTAAAATAAACTTTGAACTCTTTCAGTAAGCCCCACTTGTGTCTTTATGTATCACTGTGTTTATGTACTGCTAGGTTTGGTTTGATAATATGTTTTACTGAAAAAGTAAGGATTTTTACATCTATGCTCTTAAGAGATTTTGGTCTGTGTCCTTCTCTTATAGCATCCTTATACTGCTTTGGCATTACGGTCATGCTGGCCTCAGAGAGTAAGTTGGAAACTCCCCTGGACAGATTTACTAGTAGTTGAGCTCTTACTCTGTGCCACTTTGCAGAGCCTAGGTCTTTTAATGCGTACAGTTATGCTCGGAGGTAATAATGTTCCTACTTTTCAGGCAAAGAATCTTAGGCTTCTAAGTTATTAAGGTGTCTTAGTTACTTTTTTTTTTGTTGCTAAGACAAAATACCCAATACCCAAAGCTGAAGAAGGGATGGTTTATTTCAGCTCACAGTTTGTAGAGGTTTTAGTCTATAGTTAGCTGGCTCCAAGGCAGGGTGGCATGACAGAGGGACATTGCAGAGGAGAAACAGTCAATGGCAAAGCAGGCAGCAGATAGTGAAGCAGCAGCAGCAGCAGCACCACCACCACCAAGCCTGCCTCCTTTCTGTCCCTTTGTAGTCCATCTAGGCTATAAACCTAATTGGTACCACCCATACTGAGGGTGGAGCTTCTGTTATCCACACCCTGAATTGTAATATCACACCCTTAATCCACATTCACATACCCTAATGCAGCCACCATTGAAACTCCCCACCTGTGATCACATGAGGCTTTGGGGGGCCATCCAGGTACAATCATAACAAAAGGGTAGAGTTGGAGTCTGATTCTAAGCTCTGAGGACTCTCAAGGACCAGCCTGTGAACCATAGGTCCTACTGGTAGTCCCCTGGAACATGCCAAGCTGTGTCTTAGCTGGTGTATACCTTTCAGTCTGGGGTGGGGGTAGAGCCCAGCTTTCTCTGCTGGGCTGTGTTCCCAGCAAGGGGGCCTGAGGAGTGAAGCTACCACTGGGCTCTCTTTGGCCAGTGCCAGGTTTGTTCTCCATCTTCCGTTTTTCCAAGAGCATGAGTGTTTCTCATTACCATCTAAGGAGATTGTGGGGCCTTAATAGAACTAGTTCTAAATGGTTGATGACAATATTTTCTCATTGTGGGTAGACTGGGAATTCTACCCAGATGCTTAATATGTACAATCTCTCTTCCTAGGATGCTTGGATATTAATTCATCTGTGAAGGGGGCTCGATTTGTCAGATTCTGTGATGCATTCAACATTCCACTCATCACTTTTGTTGATGTTCCTGGCTTTCTGCCTGGTAAGTCATTAGCAGAGATGGGACTAGGAGAGGTGGTTTTGTTCAGTAAGACCTCATATTTTATTTGAAGATTTTCTTGCACAATTCCATAAGGATTTGTGATTTCTTTATATTCTGGGTATACAGAAGATGGGGCTGTGTGAGTGTTATGGTGAGATTCAGTGAGACAGGTACTCACGAGAAACTGAAAATGTGGGAACAAGCGAAGCTTTACTGCCAGTGACTGACAACCTGAATAGGAGTCAGGGAAGATGTTGGTATTGGTTGGATTTTGTTTCTCGCTTAAGTATCTTTTAGGTTTCCATAGTAACCATACAGTCACATTACCTCATTTTTGGGAATTTTATAAGAATATCACATAATTGTCACAAGGTTTGTATTTCCCAGAAGTCGTCGGTCAAGCAGACCTCGGGCAGTCATAGTGGCTTAACGTTTAGCCCACTCCTTAATTTGTTTTGTTTGTTCCTTGTTTTATAGCTTTGTCTTCTTCCGTGGTTAATGGTGAGCTATAAGGGAGGGGGTGAAGGAGTGAGTTCATCTATAGTTTAAGTGAACTTAAGTGACTTCTAAACTGGTGTTACAAAAAAGAAAATGGAGTTTCTCTTGCCCTGTCATGAAGATTGGCCCTCTTTGGAGGTATAAGAAGACCTCAAAGCTGTGAGTGGCAGGCAAACTTGGGAGGGTGTTTGTGAGTATTTACTAACTCTTCTTTATGACTCAGGCACAGCACAGGAATATGGGGGCATCATCCGGCATGGCGCCAAGCTTCTGTATGCGTTTGCTGAAGCAACTGTGCCCAAAGTCACAATTATCACCAGGAAGGTGAGGTCCTCATGTTGGAGGTAGTGACCTAAATACCTCTGTCCCCAGCAGCATGGCCACTGTGGAGATGTGGTTGAGTGTCACCAGGGCTCAAGGAGGAGCACTCCTTGCTCATCCCTGTAGAGGCCAGCATTTCCAGCCCTGGAGAGATGTCTGTGGGAGGGAGAGGGAGCTGAAAGTGCAGAGGAGAAATGCTAGGAAAGACATGGAACATTAACTGCAAATGGCCTTAAAGATCTCAGCCCAGGAGGTTGAGGAGGAGCCCAGGAGGGGGCTGCTGTTCTTTGCCTGTTTCATTGGCTTCATGGAGCCTTTCAGAGATATATCTGGTTGTCCTCAGGCTCTGACATCCAATTTTTGGATCTGTTCTAGGCCTATGGAGGTGCCTATGATGTCATGAGCTCTAAGCACCTTCTTGGTGACACCAACTATGCCTGGCCCACAGCAGAAATCGCAGTCATGGGAGCAAAGGTGAGGATCTCTAGCTTTCCTCTTTCCTGCATCCAGGGACTTTCCTTTCCCCGTGGGAGTCCAAAGCATAGCTGGTGAATGTTGGGAAGAGGTGAGTAGCAAGGGCAGGAAGCAGGGCCTAGATCTTGGCATGTCTCATTTGAGGCTCCAAAGCCAGCACTGCCTCCTATCCTACTCTTACTTCAGGCATGTGCTGGTGTCTTCATGGTAGGGGAATCAGATGGAAGGAATAGAATGGCAGAGACCCCAGAGTGGGTTTTGAAATTATAAGTAGAAAAGGGAGGTGGTTGAGTCAGCAGGACTAAAACCTTGGAGAGACTGGACATTCTTCCCAACCCTACCTCAGCACCATTGAAGGCCCTGGAGCCCATAACAAAGCTGAACTGTGGTTCTGACTATAGGCAAGGTACTTCCTGCTGTTTGACCTATTCTCTTCTTCCCTACTTTAAAAGAGCTATTGAAGTTGAGCCAGATAACTCCTAGGGTCCCTAGAACTGACTTACAAGTGCTTTAACTTGAAGGCCAATCCTTGTAGTTCAACCTGTGCTCCTCTGGCCACCTAATTATGTACTCAGAGCTCAGTATAGTGGAAAGGGAAAACCATACTGTTAATTCCTCTCAGTGGAGGGTATGATGGAGTTAATAGTGGAAAATAGTCCCAACATCTTGGCCTGAAAGGACAAGGAGTGAAGATGGAGGTGAATGTATCAGTCAGTGTGTACTAGAGAGACAGATTTAATGCAAGATACACGAATACAGTGGTACCTCAGTTCATGAATGTTTTTGTTTGTGAACAGTTTGGTTTGCAAATAAAAGTATTTGGCAAAATTTTGTTTTTGTTTGCACACTTTGTATTGCATGGCTAACACAGCTGTGGCCATCTTTCCCACATGAACGTGAATGTGGCCATCTTTTCCAGAAGTGTAGAATGAATTAAGTTTGTGAACCAAGATACCACTGTATATGAGAATTTACAAGATTGGCTTACAATGACTGCCTGCATAGTCAGGTATGGAAAATACAAAAGGGCTGTCCATGTGCTGGAGATACAAAGGATCCAGTCAAAGCCCTGGAGCTTGCTGTAGTGTCCCATGTGAATCTCTATCAGAAGGCCGAATAGTCTGCTCCAGAAAGGCTGAAGGGTTGGTGCTGGAGGTTGAAGAGTCTGCCTTGGAAGCCAGAAGATGACATCCAAGGTGAAGATGAAGACTGGAGCTTCTCCAAAGAAACAGAAGCACTTCTTCCTTTTTTCTCCTTTTATTCCATTGACAGCAAGCCTATTGTTGTCACCTAGGGTAGGTCTTCCGTCTTTAGTAAATCCCTTCAGCCACACACAGAACTATTTAGTTGGGCATTTTTTTTATTCAAGTTGACACAATCATCACAGTGGAATAGGATTGGGGCCACTGCTGGGCATCCCATCTTGTAGCCCCTGGAGTCATGATGGCTGAACCCAGGTGGTACATATCCCTCTGCTTTTGTCTCTGGAGCTGGCACTTCCCTCCAGCACTCTTCATTTTGCCAAGAAGTTCACCACCACACACAGAGATAATGAGTTGATTGGTCTGTCCTGTTTGGGACCCCACTCCAGGGAACCTTGTTATCTCTTTGTGACAGGGCGCTGTGGAGATCATCTTTAAAGGGCATGAGGACGTGGAAGCTGCCCAGGCAGAGTATGTCGAGAAGTTTGCCAACCCTTTTCCTGCAGCAGTGAGAGGTGGGACCTGGTGTCGGGGGCAGTTTTGTTCATTTGTTTGGGCTCGTTCTTTCCAAAATGTCCCATATAATTGCCCTTTACCTTTGCCTTCTACTCTGTGGACTGGGGAGCGTTAGGGCTGTCCTTGCCCATGATTATTTATCGACAGCAGAGCTGCCCAGGCAGGTTTAGCAACCAGGATCAAAACAACACTAGTAAAAGGATTACATTTTTAGGAGTCGTTCCTGTTATGTAGCATTATCTAAAAATCCATCCAAAAAGAAATGGCTTAACCTAAGCATCAAGCTCTGCTCTTGGTTCTGAGGGTCAGCCTTTTGGTTTGGGCTCAGGTTGGCAGTTCTGCTGGTCTTGCCTGGGATCACCACTGCTGTAGTCATCCTGTGTGTCTTGAGTGTGGTTTTGTTATTGAGGATGGCCTCCCTTAGGTGCTAGGTGCTGGCTGTTAGCTGCACTCTCACCACAAGGTCTCCCAATTTTAGAAGGCCAATCCCGGTCACTACGTGGTGTTCAAGGTGGCAAAAGGGTGCGTGGAAGCTGCAGGAGCTTTTGAAGCCTACGTTTAGAAGTTTCACAGTGTCATATTTATTGCAGTGTATTGGCCAAAGTAACTCAAGACCAGACAGAATCCACCTCTAGATGAGAGAAGTGGCAGTCATATTACAGGACTTGTGTACAGGGATAGGAAAATCGTTGGAGTCATTTTCAAATAAACAGATGTATTTTCTTTGTTTTTGGTTGAATTTCTTGTGGCGGGGTGGAGGCCTTGGAGCAGTGTGTGTAGGGCAGGGGATGATATTTTCCCTTCTTGCCAAGTACTCCTAGGCAGAAGTTGAGGGGCCTGCCAGGGAAACAGGCGGACTCCTGGGACAGGGGAGGTGGCAGGGCCTGGTGCCTGTGTATCACTGGGGCTCAGGGATGGTGGCTGGGCTGAGCACAGGTGGGCTTGGTGGCATCATCTGGGCATGCAGTCATCTCCTCTGCTGTGTTTCACTAGGGTTTGTGGATGACATCATACAACCTTCCTCCACACGTGCCCGAATCTGCTGTGACTTGGATGTCTTGGCCAGCAAGAAGGTACAGCGTCCTTGGAGGAAACATGCGAATATTCCATTATAAACAAACCAAAGGAAAAAACAAAACAAAAAAACCCAAGCTGAACCAAGAGCCTATTCCTGCCTTTGCCATTATGAAAACCTGGGACTCTAAATATCAATAATAACTTGGAATGGTTAATAAGTTTATAAAATTCTAGAAAAATCTCTTTTGTGCCATATTATAAAATTACTTGCTTTATTAAAAATCTTGGTATATTTCTGAGTATAATTGTCCTTTTTTATGAAATGACAGTTAGGAAACTAAGAAAACTAGGAAGAACACAGGATATATCATTACCAGTCAGGACTGACCATTTTTGGCCTCTGTGATTCAGATGTGGTTTGTGTTCCCAAAGGTTCAGGTATTGTTCCTGTATTGGGAGCTTGGTGTGAAGTGGGGCCTGTAAGAGGTGGGACATAGCGGGAACTCTTAGATCAGCTGGGGGTGTGTTTGTTGAGTGTTTGTGGGACCCTTCTCTCCGCTTCCTCTTTGGCAGTGTGATCTCTCCTCAGAAATGTGCTTCTGTCATGTGATACAGTCAGGAGGAAATCATCAGAACCAAGCTGACGTTATCACCATGTCCTTCAGTCTCCAGAGCCATGAGCTAAATAAACCTCTTTTCTTTATGAAGTTAGTTTGCATAGGTATTTTGTTATAGTAATGAAAACTAGGCTTAATGGTGGATCATTTGTTTAGCATGTGCCAGGCTCTACCAGGAAGAAAAAAAAAGGACTAATACAATGCTTTGGTATATCGTTTTCTTTTTTGTCTCTAAGAATAATTTTTTATCTATGAGGTAAATTTCTTAGGTTTCAGTTTTCCTACTGTGAAGATAGGGATTATACATCCTTTCTTAATATCCACGTGACTCAATGAAGGCTAAGGAAGTATTTGTCATTGTGCTTGTCTAGCAGAACAGGTGTGAAGGTGTAGTATGCCATGTTGACTTCTGTTACTTCCAGAAATGTATTCTCACATTTTAAAACAGTTTACTGTGAAAAATTCAAGGCTATGGAAATGTTGCAAGAGTTATCTTAATAGCATTAACCTTCAGTTAACATTTTCTGTATTTGCTTCATCTTTTCATAAATACATTAAGTGTATATATATAAAGTTACTGATAATAAGTTGTGTATTACTGTACTTTAGTATTTTGTAAGAACAAAGTCCATTGTCCTCCATAGTTTGTCTTATGACACTGGCCTTTTTGAGGGATGCTTCCTTGCCATTTTGTAGAATTCCCTCAACTCAAATTTGCCTGATTTGCTTCCTTATATTTAGATAAGGTGAATTATAAATGTGGCTCTTCAGTGTGCCACATCAGCATGCAGTTTTATTGGTAGTTGATGTTGATCATGTAGCTGCAGAAGTTTTCCTACCAAGCTTGCCATTTTCCCTTTGTCACTAAAAACTAATTTGTGGAGCATCCTTTAGTCATTTGTCAACAAACTTCCACCCAATAGTTTATTATCTACTGATGATTCTTGCCTCAATCACTGAGTGGGTTGATTATAAAATGTTATTTCTAATCCTGTATCAATATTTACCAGACATTTAAGCAATGAAGACCTTGCCCATCTTTTCTTTGTTTAAGTTTAGACTCATGCATTCTTTAAAATGCATTGTTCTTGGGGTGGGCATGCCTATAATTCCAGCAGTCTGGGAGGCTGACAGGATTGCACTTTTGAACCCAGTCTGAGCAACTTACTGACATAGTAAGACCTTGTCTCAAAAGGTGTATGTGGGGTATTATTATTGTAGAAATGGGGATTGAATCCAGGGGGGTATAAGGTATACTTATACTACTAACCCTTTTTAAAAATTTTATTTTGAGATAAGAGGGTCTTCTTAAGTTATTCAGGCTGGCCTTGAACTTGTGATACGCCTGCCCCAGCCTTTTATTTTGAGATAAGATAGGGTCTTCCTGAGTTATTCAGGCTGGCTTTGAACTTGTGATCCACCTGCCCCAGCCTCTTGAATAGTTGGGATAGTGGATATATACCAGCGTATCTGGTTATTACTCATTTTGATGCTCAGACTTTCCTAACATGGCTAATGAAAGCTGGTCCCCCAGGTTCTTTTCATGTGCCCCACTAACTTTTTGAGCACTACTTATTTTTTGACAGAGACTAATGTTCTAGGCTTATCTTGTATTTTCCTTGCCCAGCCCTCGATTCTTTTCATAGGTGTATCATTTAGAGGCTAAAATTGGTACTAGATGAAGCTATTCACATTGACACTGGACAGTCATTTCTTCTAGATATTTTCAGCATCCAACTAGGAAATATTTATACAAGTAAGTATGTGTGTTTAATGTGGGATACACATACATGTAAATAATATTATGTTTTTCCATCATGAGTTCAAACTTACAGTCCAATGCCATGGGTTTTTCTTTGCCTGCCCCCCCTCCATGTTTAGGTCTCTTCCCATAGTTGTGAACTGGGCTTCCATTGCCTTATATGTATTTTACTCATTTGTTCAAATGTTGCAGTGCATAAAAGTTTTGAAATCACTGTAGCTGTGTCAACAGTTAGCCTTCTAAGTAAAGCTCTGAACTTTTTCCTAGTTCTTTTTGTCTTTAAACAGAAAGCACATGGTTAAGTCACTTGGATTAGTAACTGAGTGCTAATATTTATTAGTAAGAGTCCTTTGTGAAGCTTAGAGATTACTTCAAAAAATTTCCCATTCTTTGTTGACTTTATTTTACTGTGCACGCAGTGGATCAACAGTTACACCAATGCCGGAGATTTAACGTTGTCTGAGAGTAATGGTCAGCTGTGGAGCGCTGTTCCAAGATGCCTCGTGGTATGTTTTGCTGTCTGATGAGAGGCCAGAGCTTTCTTACTATTGAGGATCTTCCCTTATTCTCGGCCCATGGCTCCACAAGTCTTTCAGCACGGTTTTGTGTCACATTATTTCAAGGTCAATTTAATATGCGATTCCACTTCTAAAAGTGCTATGGGTTGGGTAAGTGTCCCCCAAAGGCCCATGAGTTAAAGGCCTGGTCACTATCATGGGGCATTACGGAGGGGGTGTGATACAGGCTAGTGGGAGAAGTTAGGTCCAGGGGGATGTGCCCTTGAAGGGAGCCCAGCCCCTTTCTTGCTTCCTGGCTGCAATGAGATGAAGAGGTCTCCTCCACCACACACTTTTAACATGACTGCAACATCACAGGCCCAAATGACCAATCATACAATGCTTTTAATTCTTTTGGGAAGATACCCAGAAGGTATGTATGTACACACTTGTTTATAGTGGCAGTTTGTAATACCTAAATCTTGGAAGCAACCCAAAGGCCCATCAACCAATGAATGGATAAAAAAATGTTTTTATTACTCAGCCATAAAGATAAAGTGGAAACTATTACAGCTAAATGGATACACCTTGAGACCATAATCATAAGTGAGATAAACTGGAGGCATGTGTAAATATCACATTGTCTCTCTGGTGTGAGAAGCTAAAAATAAAATAAATGTACAACAGATATTGTGAAGTAGGAAGAAATTGTTCAAAAGGAAAAGGGAAATAGGGAGGGAGAGGAGAAAAGATGGAAGGGACAAAATGACAAAAGGATATAAAATAAAAACCCAAGATTTGTGAACAGAGGGAGGGGAAGGGGATTTGAAAAGAGGGGATGAGAATGGGGAAGAAAAGAGGAATCAAGATACATCATGTACAGATACAAATTCTCTAGAATGAATGTGCTTATTATGTATACCTAAATTGTACCAATAAAGTCAAATTAAAAAATATGACAAAGAACTCACCAATGGAGTGAAAACACAATCCACAAAGTGGGAAGAAATTTTAGCCAGTTGCTCCTCAGACAGAAGACTAGTATCTAGAACACATATAGAACTGAAATCTGGGCATCTGAAATGAATACGTATTTCTCAGATGAAGTACAAATAGCAAATAAATACATGAAAAAATGTTTGACATCACTGATCATTTGAGAGATCAAAATTAGGTGCTGGGGATTTAGCTCAGTGGCACAGCGCCTGCCTGGCAATTGCAAGGTCGTGAGTTCGGTTCCCAGTACTGGAAAAAAACCCAAAAGAAAAAAAAAAAAAGAGAGATGCAAATTAAAATAACACTAAGACTCCATCTCACTCTGGAGAGAATAGCTATTATAAAAAAAATCAACGAACAACAAATGCTGATGGGGCTGTGGGGAAAAGGGAACTTTTCCATTGCTGGTGGGACTGTAGACTGGTGCAACCACTGTGGATATCAGTGTGCAGATTCCCTAAAAAACTAGGACTAGAGATCCCATTTGACCCAGATATTCCCCTTCTGGGTATTTTCCCAAAATAATTTTTCTTTTCAAAAGAATTAAAAGCATCATACCATAGTGATATATGCACACTCATGTTTATTGTGACAGTATGTAATAGCTAAATCCTAGAAACAACTCAAATGTCCATCAACTGATGAATGGATAAAAAAGGTTTTTACTACAATGGATATATAGTAGTTTTTACTATAAAACTACTATATATAGTAGTTTTTACTATAGTAGTTTTTACTACTAAACTTCAGGCATTCATTGCTAAATGGGTGGATCTTGAGAGCATACTCTTAAGGGAAATAAATCTGACACATGTAAATATTGCACTGTCTCACAGGCGTGAGAAACAAAGTAAATAAGCAAATTGTACAAGAGATATGGTGAAATGGGAAGAAATTATTCAAAAGGAAAGGGGAGCTGGGGAGGCGGGGAGGAGGAGGAGGAAAGGAAGGAAGGGAAAAGAAAAAATGAGAAAAGAATAAAATGGAAAGAGCTTTGTAAATGAGGAGATAAAGGGAGGGGATGAGGATGGGAGGGAAAAAAGAGATGAATCAAGGTATATTATATTATGTACAGGTACAAAATCCCTATGATGAATGTGATCATTGTACATACCTAAATTGTGGCAAGAAACTTAATTTAAAAAAAAATTTTAACAGGAGATGACCAGCGTAGAAAATTGGTACCAAGCAGTGGCTGTTTCTGTGACTTTAACTGACAGTGTTGGTCAGAAACTTTTAGAATTTGCTTGTGGGAAGAATTTGGAAAAGTTTAGAAGCAGGCTAGAGAAACCCAGAATGCTGTTAAGCATCACACTTTACTGGTGATTTTGGCTCTGGCTCAGGCAGTTCTGATTGGAGCCAGATATCATGGCTCACACCTGTAATCCCAACCATGGGGAGGCTGAAGCAGAAGGACTCCAAGTTCAAGAGGATTTACCGACAGTGAAATTCTGTTTCAAAATCTAAACAACAAAACACCACCATCACCTTAAGGGCAAACAACCCCCCAAAACAAACAGAAAACCCCAGAACACTGAGCAGAGGGCTGTCAAGTGTCTGCTTTTAGAGGAGATAATATGTCAGTTGGGAGAGGTCAGAGGCACTGTGTAGGTCTTGCTGGACCTGCCCCTGCCGTGAATTGTACAAATCAATTCTGCTTAAGTCACACAGCTAGTAAGTGGAGAAGCTGAGGCTTGAGCTCAGGTAGGTTTGTCCACAAGCCTGTGCTCTCACCATAGAAAGTACTGCTACAGAGCTGATGAGGCAGGCAGGATGAACTCCTAAAGGTTTGGGTACCAGTGAGGCGGTCTGCTTCCCTGGGATTGTTTGCCAAAGAACCCAAAGGGCTACTGACCGTGCAAAGTTCCTACCACATGCATGAGTCCGGTACACAGCAGTGCTAGGAGATAGCTAGGTAGTTCTTTCTGAGCTGCTGGCGCAGTGAGGAGCATAGCCATACTGCAACTTCTGTTGCTTGTTAGTCCTTTTATGAAGATTCTTCCAGTGTCTCTTTTGGCCATGTCTTCGTCTCCCTCATCTAGTTCTCTCTGGTTGTACTGATGCTTTTGCTTGGTGCTGCTGCTGAAGATGTGATCTGCCCAGTCAGAAGCCTGTGAAGAATACTCAGTCAGATGCAAGGTTAACACTGTGTGTGGGAGTTGATGAACTGAGATTTTACCTGTTCTGACAAATGGAGTATTTTATCTTCCTCGGTCCAAAGGATTTCTGAGGGCTGTGGCTTTATTCTTCGGTGGAGAATTACTGGTCCTCATGTTCTTGTGCTTCTTCTGTCAGCAAATGATCTCTATTCTGAGTAGCTGTGGCTCCTTGGGCACTGTCTCAGTCTGGGCCTATGAGGAAGAACTGTCACATGGCAGTGGATGAAGCAGCCTCAGTCATAAAGTTCTGGTTATTTACCTACTGTCTTGGATGGTGAAAATACTTCCATTGTATGTTTTCAGGAGGAGAAAGATGCTTTTCAGAAAGTGGTACCTGCTAGATGGGTTGTAATCTGTAATCTGTATCTCAGATCTGTAATCTCAGCTACTTGAGGTTGGGGCAGGAGTACAAGCTTGAGGCCAGCATGGGGAATTTAGTGAGACCTCAAAAAAAAAAAAAAAGCTATAGAGATGTAGCTCAGTACTGTGCCTGCCCCTCCCGCCCACAAATACCTGCTAAAGGTCCTCACAAAGCACTTGGTGAGCAGGGACACAACATTGAGTCCGATTAGGTAGGAAAAGCCTGAGCAGGTATGAACTATGTTGTGCTAAAGACCCTGGTTTTCTCCCGGTCATGGATTCTTTTCTAGGAGCAGGGCCGGTGAGTGGAGAGTCAGTTCAGAGATCCCGGAAGCCTGTCTATTCCAAAGCAAGGTCATACATAGGGAGAGGCCCATCTGCTCTCAAGCTTGTAGCCTTCAAGTTAAGCTGTCACAAGACATGCTCACCTGGTGATTTTATTCCCTATATTCTTGTCTTCATTGCATAGGGATTTTATGCTGTTTGAGCTCAACAAAAGGACACAGCCAGACCATAAAGTTGGGATAGCTTAAGAAGAAGGTCTGACATCAATGCTCAATGGTTGGCAGACTTCTGCAGCATCAACATTCTATAGAATTTGTGTGGTCTTCGAAGGGCCACTGATCAACACGGCTTCATGAGCTTGGGCAGGTAAAGAACGCAGGCTACAGATGTTTCCTGAGTGCCTGGTAAAGTGATATATATTTGGCCTGTAGGAGACTCCCTCGTAAGCCATAGACAACTTGGCCTACTCATTCTCTCTGAGGAAATCCAAGGAATGAAAGAAAATTTTTGAGCTAATCCTGAATTTTTTCTCAAAACAAAAATACCTATTATGGTATACTTACCATCACTTAACAAATTATAATGGCAAACACTCTGAAGAACAAGCAGGCGAGGAAATAGTGTACTTAAAGCTTTACCTGGTAGGAACAATAGGATGACTACCACAGGCCTGATTTTGAATAGTTTATTAAAGGAAAGGTGAAGCATCAGTTTCAAATTGTACAAAAGGAAAAAAAAACCTCATATTGCAAATGTACCATTTACAGAATTACTAGCAAAACCAATCAAGGAGACACTGAAAATACAAAAATTTGATTTGACTTCAAACTGAACTGGAAACCCATTGGAGTAGATTGCTTGGTAGTCTATAATTCTAAGTTGGCATGTTTTCCACAAGAGACTTGTCAAGCAAAGAACCAGGCACGTGCCAGGCCCTTCCACTCTTGTTCCCTGGCCAGAACTACAGGCGGGCAGGGTTGGAGTGGACTGTCCAGTCATTCCTGCCTTTTTACTTCCAGTGAAGCCCACCCCCCTTAGTTAGAGCCCAGGAACTGCTGAATTAGCAGTTAAAACTGTTTTGGTGACCAAGATTTTTTTTTTTTAAACTGTACCAATCGTGAGAAAAATCTCAGTTTTGTGTCCATTTACTCAACGATAAATAAAATCCATTTTGCTTTTCCACACAAAAGAATCACTGGGTACACAGAATTTTAAAAAAATGTCTTGTTTTTGGTAAAAAGAGAAAACCTCATGATTCTGTTGTAGTTACTTAAAAAACAGCTCAGAAACAGCTGTGGATGGATTGGTTTGGAAATTCTGAGGCTTACATTAAAAGTTAGGAAGAAACTACATGGGCTTTTAAAAATAATAACAAGTCTTAAAAATCCTAAGCAGATTATAACTCTAAACCATTGAAGACTGTCCTGAAGATTCATAATTTCTTACCCCCAAAGAATTATTAATATGCACATTTAACACTGAAATGTAAGCTGTATTTCAAGGTAAGCTTAGGAATTTCATCCTCTAAGCACAGACTTCTATGCAGCACATACTTCTATAATTGGCAAACATAATTCACAAAATTAGTGCATAAGGATATTAACTGCATGGGAAGTAGACACGGTTATGTTACACTTAAATTACTTTTGAACGGCAAAGGATTTCCTCATGATTATCTTTGTAAGAAAATGGAAGTCTGTGTAACCTGAATTTGGCAGGGCATGAAGTAAGTGGTAAAAACAGCAAACTGATAACTTGAGAACCAGTTTTGTTTTACTGAGAATACTTTATTTGCTGGTAGAAGTTGCTAAAAATGCACAGAACAAATACCAATAGAAAATGCACTGTATTCGAATCTCCCTATTCTATATAAAATGAATGGTGTACAGCATCTGTTGGAAAAATGGCTGCATGGACATTTATTTTATGTCCACTTATAAATAAAAATAAACCTTTTTATTCAAGAGTATATAAAATCTGGGAATTCATATCCATATCCACAGAAGGTGTGTGGTTTTGGCAGAGATGCACGATGTCAATTTCATCTTAGCTTGTCGGTATTCTGTTCTTTCTTGTTTCTGTGTTCACAAGGTCAACCAAATCCAGTGAGCTCCAAAAACACTCTTCAGCAATTAGGATAAGCTGCTTACTCATAGGTTTAATAAAAATGGTTAGCTTTTAAAACATAAAAAGGCAAAATGTTAAAACGGTTTTTAAATTGTACAACAGGAAAATAAAGTTAAAAATATTTTTTTTTTTACTCAATGTTGAGTTTTCATAAAACAGGTGTATAACAGTGTTTATCTTGACAGCTGTTTTAAAAATTTAAAATTTCTTCCTCCCTCCAGAAAAACACACACATCTGTACTGAGATAAGTCCAATATTAGGACACAAATGATTTTTTGGGTCAGTCTTTCTGAGGTGACATTCACCAACACTTCCTTGGGTAATTTACATGCTCCTCTTCTTTGTCACTGCAAAAAGGGATTGACCTTAATCATTTGATTAAAAAACAAATCAGATCACATCAAAAGTGTTTTTTCCCCATAGAAGCTATCACAGTATATAGGCCTCTAGCTCTAAATAATAGAGTTCCAGATTTGTAAATTTTCTTCAGATTTCAGAACATAGGCATTCCAAATCCCTAGAAAAATGAGACATGATTATTAATTTCATGCATGTACAAGACCCATAAATCATAAGTAAAAAGTAGCAATAATTTAATATTTACTGAATCATCTTCTATGATAGCTGCAGAGTCGAAAAAGTCTGGCCTCAGTTCAGCTCTCTCTCGCCGATTTCTTGATGGAGGCTGCAAAGAGAAATCACTTAAACTTTTTTTCCCTAAGACCGTCAAGACAATAAATTGTGATAAACAGCTAACATTTCTGACAGTACACAGAAACATTAAGGGTTAGTTTTGAAAGGAGAATCTGGTTATAAAGTATATGAGGCACAGATTTCTAAAAAGTCTTACTGAACTTTTTGCTTTTTAACTATCAAAAGACAAAAAGGGGCTTTCAAATAAGAAATTGAACATGTAAATGCATATAATTTTGGGTTCACAAACCCAAGTTATGGAATGATTTTAAAAATGATCAAATACGAGATGGCAAACTTCAGTGAAATCTTCAAAGTAGGTAGATGGAAAGCTTTTAGGGGTCTGGGATAGGAAGGGTATACAGACTGTAAGAGTCAGATGATGTCACTCCAAACTTTTTATTATAGGAAGCCCAACATAGGCAAAACAGAATGTGCTAGGCAGAATTGTGACTGACCTGCCCCATTTTATGTTGAAGTCCTAACTCCTAGAATCTCACAATGTGACATAGATGAAGATAGGGCTTTTAAAAAGAGGTAATTAAGATACAGTTAGGTCATATGGGTAGCCTGATCTCACGACTGGTGTCTTCATAAGAAATGTATAACAAAGTCCACCATCTACAAGCCAAGAAGAGACGGTTCAAAGTGAAATTGACTCTAACACATTCCGCTTGGATTTCTAGCTGCTTAAGCCACCCAGTCTATAGTACATGCATGGCAGTGCTAGCCAGCTGATACACTGTAAAACGTCCATGGTATAGAAGAACATCCATGTACCAATCACCTTGTTCCAATGTTTGATTAATCTTTTTTCACTGGGTTTCCCCACTGTATTTTCGTCCCCTTGTCATTTCACCTGTTAACATGTTATCTATAGCTAATGAAACTTCTAAAAAACCATACCACCATATAGTCTGAAAAAAATGTTTTAGTTACTACATATTTGATGAATACTTAAATTTCCTTAACTCAAGCATGTTTTATAATGAACACATACATTCTAGGATCTGCATCTTACTGTTATGTTGAAGTACAGAGTGTACTGTTACACTGTAGTTTATGCCGGATAAATAACACTATGCTGAAAGTTCTGGTGAGAGCTCTTTTACAAGAAGGAACCAAATTCTATAAAAAGTTACCAAATATGATTAGGCTTAAAAAACATAAGCTCATCCACATGCTCACTGTTGATCAATGATACCACTCCTCACTTCTCCCTCACTTCCCAGTGTTCTGAGAACAAGCGTGTCATCTTAGCCCAATGTACTCATATATTTTAAGGGAAGGAAAAATCGGTGGATTTCCTTACCAGATCAATAACCATGGTGTCTTCAAATTCTTCATTCATATCTTCTAATTGACTCCGGGAGGACATCATCACATCTTCAAAGATGGGCTCAGCATCTTCTTCCATTAGACCCCGACTGATAAAGAAAAGGTATAGTCAGAAAGCTGTATACTCATCCAACTTGGAGTCCTGGCTTTTTCTTAATTAGTTTCTCTAACCAACATAACTATGACTTATAAAGTACACAAATTATGATACTTAACTACAAAATTAGGATCATTCCTTTGGTTCACTGAAGATTTCATCAGAAGGAAGTACAGTGTAATTAAATGCAGTGACAGAACATTTATATATAGATAAAAAAAATTCAGCTTTGTGACAATTACCCCAAAATTCTGTTTGAAACTATAATCTCTATTTTACTAATGAGCAGCACGAGACAAGTATTTTAGAGCTTGCTGTAGGCCATATAACTGGCAAATGGGGAGCTCTAGGCTTTAAATGCTCAGGTTCATGCCCCCTGGTTCCTATGTGCACAGCATATCCAGAGCTGTAATTTTAATTTAAGACTAAACATCAGAAATACACAGTTATGTTCTTCTGATACTCAGTTTAACACTTACACAGCATGCCTTACTCCAGTCCTCACTTTCATGTAGTTCATTCCTGTCCTGTCTTTCCGATTCAGGTCTTCTAACTTCGGCTGGCCTAACCAAGAGATTTGCATCTGTGGACTAAGAGAGGGAGCTATTAGTCGTTTTGTGGCAGTACATGATATATTAGCTAATCAGCCCCATGCTAAGAAAGTTATGGTTGGTTGGCTTTAATCCCTATGGAAGAGTGATAGTAGCTGGACTTATTCCAGTATCTTTGCAAAAAAGGCACCAGAATGCCTCAAAAGATCCTTAAATCTCTTAGAGAAGCAGGCTGGCAATAGCTGTTAAACTGTCAGCTTTAATGCCCTAATCTCGACCCAACAATGGCACTTTAACTTCTTTCACGCTGTTGTACCAGTCACAGGTGTACCCAGCTTAGAAAATAAAGCCCTAAGTAACAGAAATGAGACTAGCCTGGCAGCCAAATACCCCATAGACTTGAATAAGAAAAGATATAGCATGTCTTATCAGTATTCTATTTAGGAAAACATACAAGCCCTTATAACACAGATTCTTTGTCCTGATACAGTCAATTCTTCACCTGTACCCTATACTTACCAATAGTGAGAACATGCATAAATATGCTTCTTGGAAATGTTATAGGATTTAAACTTTTAGCAGATAAAAAAATGTCACATGAAGTTCTCTCTGGCCATATTTATATCCTGTTGGGCTACTACATTGATTAAATCTATGAGGCTTGGGCTAAAAGGGCTACAGCTTTAAGCCTAGGGAAAACAAGACCCCAAAGGGACTGACAAATGCTAAGGTCAAGAAAGGCAAGGTTGGCTGCTCAAGTAACAAGGAGAACTCGCTCTATACTATACTGATAAGGTCACCTATCTTGTGTAAGATGCTGGACCTATGACAAAGTCTGCCTTGGACACTCAGCAGCTCAAGAATGCTTGGTTATTCAATGAATGACAATGATTATTCTCTCAGGTTTGAGAAAGACCCTAATGTAGTACAAAGTTGTCTTAGGAAAAGTCAGAACTTGAATACTTGTAATTCAAATTTTCAACCAACTAAAACTTCAACCTCTTTTAACCTACTAAATTTGTTAAGGTCAGGTTAGAATTCACTGTAATTCACAGCATTATTCCACTATACGCAGAGACACAAGTAAGGAACTAAGAATTTCAAAATTGGAAGGAAAACTACTCAAAATTAAATTTTTTTTTTTTTTTAAAGCAAAAACATATCACCCTTGCCTTCTCTACAATGTTCAGTGTGGAATACAAAACATTTTAATTGCTAATATGGGTAAAAGGTAAGATACTGACTCTTTTTTTTTTTTTTCCTCCGGCACCGGGAACTGAACTCACGACCTTATGCTTGCCAGGCAGGCGCTTTTGCCACTGAGCTAAATCCCCAGCCCGATACTGACTCTTAAAGGGCAACTATTCTTGAATTTATCAAATAAGAGCTTAAAAATTCTTAATCCAGGAATAATTTAAATGTAACCAGAATATTAGTAGTCAATGAAATGGATGATAAAAATAGTCTTATTTGCTGTTCAGACTATGAACTGCCTAGTAGAAGCTCTTAGAGATCACTTTCTAGGAAGTAACCTGTGTTATTTTCTTGGAAGTCCCCTGAGAAGAAACAGATCTGCCCAATGAATATGCAAACACCAATTAAAATTAGCATGTAGTGAGATACTATCTTATTTATTTATTTATTTAGTTAATTATTTGGAATGGAACTCAGGACCTCATGCTTGCCAGGCAGGCGCTGTGCTGCTGAGCTATATCTCTGGCCTGAGACCATATACATATAATATCTATATATGTATTTTGTGTGTGTGTGTGTGTGTGTGTGTGTGTGTGTGTGTGTGTGAGAGAGAGAGAGAGAGAGACAGAGAGAGAGAGAGAGAGAGAGAGAGAGAGAGAGAGAGAGAGAGAGACAGAGAGACAGAGAGAGACACAGAGTCTTGCTGTGTTACGTGCTGGCCCTGAACTTCTAGCGATCTTACTGTTTCAGCTTCCTGAGTGCTGTAATGACAGGCATGCACCACCATGCCTGTCATTACAGGCATGGAAAAGAAAAAAAAAATTTTTTTAAAAAGAATTAAGAGCAAAAGATACTTTCATTGGCAACATAGAGGACTGTGCAAAAAATGTCTTTCCTAGCAGACAAAACAAAGAATGCAATTTAATAATACTGACTGGTATCCATTTAATATTTCCAAAGTTTCTTCACAGTCTTCCTCACTTCACTTTAACATATCCCTTTGATGTTGGTAGTGAGAGGTTACCATTCCATCTTGAAAGATAAAATCAAAGCTAGTAACAAAGTTTGTTCTATTTGATCAGGGTGACGAACCTATGTCATGCATGTTATTGTGTTTTTCTTTTAAGACAAAAGATGTTAATATATGAGTTGTTTTTTTTTCTAAATTAAAACTTCAGTATTCAAATTTAATTGTAGTGTCTGCACTGTGCAAAAAATAAGTGGATTCTGGGTTCTAGTTTGGGTGCTCAGTCTCTAAAAGGTCTGCCCTCATTGTGCTAGATCAATGAAGGTCCCTGAACTTTGAGGTTTCAGTATCCACCAAACTTTGCAGACTTCTTATGTGTCTTTTCACATAAACTCCCTCTGTGGCTTAACTTTCAAGATCTCACCAGCAGTATGCTGTGATGAACAACATTTTTTCTTATGATACTCCTGCCTCGCAAGTGCTGGGATTACAAGCATGCACACCATACCTAGCAATGAAGTTCTTTTTAAATAATTTAGTTTCTTTGAAAATGACGGGTTTTATGCCAAGAAAACGAACTTTTAGTACTTACTTGTGTAAAAAGTCTGGTTCCGAGCCATGTTCAGACTCAGGTTCTTGCATCTGCTCTCCCAAGGGCCGGCTATTCTCTCGCAGCACAGTGGAAGTAAGCTGTGGGGCTGGGAGGGGGCCGGGAGTCTGAATCATGGTCTCTGTCCTGTTTAGCCATGTGTTATCCAGACTTTCATCTGTAAAATTCCAGTTAGAGTCTCTCAATGTCACAGATGGAGTGAACTCACGGTAGTTATGACATTGACTTGAAGAGCACGGCTTTACAGATACTTCGAATCCTAGTGCTACCAGTTCTTTGTATGACTTTGAAAGTTCCGTTTTCTTACATATAAAATGGTGATATCAATACCTGGGCCTCAGAGTTGTACAATGAAGTGAGGTAATGTATATAACCATCAAATGTTAGGTATCATCACAACATCATGTCTCTTAAGTTTATCCCTGAGGATTTAGTCACCTTAGAAAGCAAAGAATGGGGTCAGGCACAGACCTCTCCAACTTTCCTTTGCTCAAGGAATAACGGGCCTAAAAGTCCAAGGCAGCAGCACTTACGGACTTGTTGGCATTTACAGAGGAATGAGAAAACCCTCTCACAGAACTGGACACCATGGAGAATTAACTCTTTTCTGCTGGCTTATCCATGTGAAGATAGGAGAGTTTCATTGCTTTCATGCCCTTAAGTGCTTCAGGTAAGTCTCCTATGATGATTCTGCCCAGGCCCCATTTACCATTCGTATTTGACTTCCAAAGGAAGTGAAATAATTTCTGCTTACTAAGGATGTAATTATATACTATCTTACATTAGCAGGTAATTTGTCTTGTGTATATGTTATCTCTGTGCTGTAATCAGACTTAAGTTCCTTTAAGGAGCCAGGGACTTCCCACCCCCCCTTCTTCTAAAGATGATTTATAAAGATTAAAGCACTATTTGCACATCTAAAACATCCTGATAAAATAATGTATTAAGTTCCTGCCTATAAAAATTCTGTTATTATGCTAAGAGTTTTACAATTTTCTGAACAATTTTAATCACAAAGTATAGTATGAAAATTGTTTTTTTCTCCTGATGAAGCTCAGAGATGTATGTATGATAGGTATCTTGTATGCCATCAAGCATTCCATCTGTCTCAGTGTTACTCAAGTTTTTTTTAACGTTTTGCCAGACACATGTGGACCTCCTGGATTGGCTTTCTGATCCCTGAAAATACCCATCATTATGTGGTTCTACTGATTTGGAACTCACTACTGAATCTCTTAAGGTGCATTTAATCATTTTCTATTCATAGTACTTTTGACATTTAATTCAAAACTTCTCTTTTCTATACTTCAATTTTATGCTTAAAAGATTGTCACGTAGATTCTGACCCAAAATCATTTGTTAGCTCTTTATTTCATGTCATCTTGTCCCCAAAATCTTCCCTCATTCACTAAAAATTTGGTCACCCATGTATGTTCCCAAAGCCTTCTGTGTTTGCCCTATCATGCTGAACTCCAATTGCATTTTTCTTCTCTGTCTATCTGCACTAAGAGCTCTTTTACTAATTCCTAGTCTGTAGCACTTAACCTGGTTCTTAGGAAGATGCTTGGTAGAGACCTGAACGAATAAATTCAGGAAAAGCTCACTCCTCTTAAATAGGCCCTTGTAACTGCCTAGATTCCTCAGTGAAAATGTTTATTTTTATTTTTTTTTATTTTAAAGAGAGTAACAATAATAAAAAAGAACAATTTGTTAATGTGCTCTTCATCCCAAACAGATGAAATTGCTGCCCAAGGGCTCTAGACAAGCAACCCATTTCAGTTATTTTGTAAATTTCAAAATCACACAGAGCAATTTTTCTGTAATTTACCAATTACCAAATTAACCTGGTCTATAAATGTGTCTGTAGTTTTAAAGATAAAATTGACTTCCTTTAGTGAGTGATACATGGTTATTTAAATTCTCTAAGCCTTAGTTTCTTCTATATAAAATGTGGATGAGTGTTCAATTTAAAGTTGATTTATAAGACATCTATAAAGTATTATATAGTACAGTTGTATTAGCATTAAATAATATAATAATACAGCATATAGTAAATATCTGGTGAATGTTGGCTAATATGAACATCCCATCTAACCTGTAAGTTAAAAAAAGGATGTAGACATGAGGCACCCTGATAGAGGGTGCTACAGAAAATATTTTCAAAGAAACATGAAGTAATTCTTTACAGAAAAGTCTATGAGCCTACAAGTCTTAAAGCTGAAACTTGAAATTTTAAACTCTGTTAAGACTGTTAAACCTTACATTAAATTGACCTCTTTTATTCTCATTAAAAGACAGATGCTGCCTCATCTAACTGATGCTATATAAGAGGCATTACTATATGATCATGGCATTCTGATAATAGCAGCTAACATTTATTGAATGCGACCTTTGGGCTAAATACTGTGCTCAGTATTAAGCATGTACCATGTGTTTTATTTGGAGTATCTCATTTAATATTCACACCCATAGGCTGGGTATTCTTTCATTTGATCAACTATGGAAGCTTAGAGAGGTTAAGTAACAAACTCAAAGGTCATATGGTAAATTAGAAAGCCAGCTTTGAATTGTGAAACTTTTATTTTAGGGTTTGTGCTCTTCATCAGTAGTCAGTATTCCACAATAATGAAAGACAAATTAGACTTAAATTCTAATTAATTGTGCCACATATTTTAGAGAACCTTTGATAAGTCACTTTTTAGGCAGCAGAGGCAAGGTGCTGAATGAAATCTGAGTAAGTTGTAAGAAAGAGCAAGACAGCAGTACTCAGCTCACTGCCACCTTCTCTTGGTTTGGAAAAAACAGAAGTATGGAGAAAGAGATTATTTTAGAAAATAAGCATGCTTACTTTGAGGCTTCTCTAGGTAACTCAAAGAGAAATACTGTTTTAACAGCAATTTTTAGTCTTTTTGGATACAGAATATCTATCATTGACCAGATTTTCATAACCATTTACCTTCCTGTTTCCCATAGTCCAACAGGGTTATCACTGTCTTGTGGTATGAAAATAAATCACCCAACCAAATGATAGAACTAGAAAGCTATTCTGACATACTCAATTTGTTCCCCTCAAATTAGCAGTAGCCTCGTATTAATGAATTTTAATATCATATTTTAAATTCCAGGTGTCAGAGGCATATGGCATAGGGATCAACTCTGTAGCCTTTCCTAACTGCTTCCTCTTTTTCTGTGCTATCTTCTTCTATACTTAATGATTCTTCAAACTCTTTTTTCTTGGCCCTTTTCATTTTATCTGTTTTAAACTTTTTACCTGGATATCTCACTATGTATCAAATGTACAAGGAAATCATGTGTCTAACATTATCTTGCTTCAACAGGTCACTTGCCATTTTACTTATCGCAGGCAAACTATCTCATAGTGTCCAGGCAGAGAGGCAGACTTACCTTCTACTCGTTTTTTGTGAAGTGGGGGTCGTCCTTTCTTATTTCTTACTGAGGAGGTTTTGCTGCTGCTGCTTCCACTGTTCACAGACATTCTATCATCTTCACCCCCAGTGACTAATGAATTCCTATAGGAGATGAGTGGAAGCCATACATCTTCCCTCCTTTCCATCATCTGCTCAGTAAGGAATTTCTCTAGGTATGAATGACTAGAAACATAATAGAAAAAGCAGTGATTTTCATGTTAAGTTGTTCATGTGTCACTTAATTACTTTTTCTTAATCTGAGTCTGCAGATTCGGAAGGACCCTTGGGGCAGACATTAACTGTGCCTGCCTTTGGAAAGAATGACAATTGAAAGTTTTGCTTCCTATATTTCTGGAATCCTTTCCAGAGAAGTGTGTGTGTGTGTGTGTGCGCGCACGCGTGTATGTGTTTATATGTTCTTTCCTACATTTCTTCCTTTGCTTTTATGCACTAATGGGGAAATAAAGATCAGAAATTTGGCTGTAAAGATTACCGAGTTTTCTTTAAGGTGTTCAGATCAGGGCAGGAACTGAAATGGTGAAGTGAGGATGCTGGCATACCACAGCAAGTATCTTATCGATAAAATTTATAAAAGATAGTATGTATATTAAATGGAGAAGAACGTGTACTAAATCTTGGTAAGAACAAGAGTCACAACACATTTAAACCACAACTTGTTTTCTTTCCTTGTTCCCTCTCTCTGCTGTGGAAACTGCTCCAGGCAGGTGGCCAAGAAGGGGGCTCTCCTTTTCCCTAGCCCTCAGTCTAGGGCTACCCTGAAAGGAAGGAGCACAGCATTTACTTTCCTTATCACCCACTAGCCCTGTGGTGCCGAAGCTCTATTGTGAGCAATAGCTCAAGAACAGAACAAAAAACAAAACAAAACAAAACAAAACAAAACAAAACACCGAGGTTCTTTTTGCCCATCTAGCCCCAACTTACAGGGTAGAAGTTCTATTCTATGCACATCATGGTGAGAATACTAGGGCTCTGAATGCCTGTATTTTAACTCCAAACATAGATAGGGGCAGGCTAAGAGGCAGAGGTTACCCAGCCTTTTCCTGCTCTAAGAGCAGGGGTCTTATTCTGGGAGAAGGATGCTGTTCCATCCCATTCCCCAACCCCTAGTCCCTCTTCAGTGGCATAAATGTTAAAAGTTATGCCCAGGGGCTGAAGCAAAGTAAAAAGAAGCTTATAGCTGTGTTTGTGAGGTTGAAGAGAGTTTACAAAATTCCTTTCCAAAGGGTCTTGTTAAAAACAGTAGAGATCATATGCCTGTAATCCCAGCACTCAGGAAGCTGAGGCAGGAGGACAAAACTCAAAAACAACAAGGCTTCAGAAGGACAGGGAACACATATCAAAACTAGGTAAATAATTATTTCACAACTTCTAGATCTGCCTTGGTGCCAGCTGGAAATCTGCATGCAGGTGAGACAGTCTCACATTTTGGCCCACACCAGTGCCAACCATAGGGTGGGCCTAAGGCACATTTCCCTTCCCCCAGATTGTAAAGTTCTTGTGTGGCTGTGGGACTCAGGTAAAAGTCGTCATTAGCCTTGGTGGACTGTGGGCTAATGGTGCAACACAGCCATTGTATTGGTGGTCAAGTATATGGCATAAGAGCTTGGGGCCAGTTCTTCTGTAATAATTATACCCTCAGCAGGCAGTGTCTTGTAGTTTGTGACCACAGATTGCTGATAATGGATGAGGATTCTAAGTTTTCCCTGTCCCAGAGAAAGAGTTGCAGGGCTGGACCATTCTTTGTACTTACTCCCCTAGTTCATGCTGAAGAACATGACAACTACAGATTTGGGCCAAATCTGGGCTAGGATTGCCCTGTAATCCTGCAATGATACAACACACCAACAGCAGACTTTCAGCAAACCTGCAGGTAGGGTGGCTTACACCTATAAAATAGCAGAAGTGGCTACAGGCTGACAGAGAATAAATGACCTGCTTACAATTTCTGGAAAGACAGACAAAGGCCAGATTAGGAAGACTGAAACAAATACCTACTCTTTCATAGTGTAGCCGGCACCTCATACTAACAAGCATCAAGAACTTCCAGGTAACCAAGACTTCCCCTAATTGTCAAAATTAAGCACTAAAAACTGACCAGATGGAACCAGTATGACAAACTCTTGGAAGAAGAGTTCCTTTAAAAAAAAATTCAGTGAACTTTGAGAACACAAGGAAACAGAGACACAAGGATTTAAAAAAATCCTTGAGCTGAAAAATACACTAAGTGGAAACAAAAACACAATAGAAGTCATCATACACAGGTCAGAACAAACAGGAGAATTAGCGCATTGTAAATATAGAGTTGGAAGAGAAAAAAGAGTGAAGAGGACAGAAAAGAAAGAGTTTACAGAAATGGGGGGACTATATCAAAAGAGCAAATATTTGGGTTACTAGGGTTAAATGAAGAAACTGAAAATCCCCAAAAGTAGAAAACTTACTTTACAGACCAGGAAAGAAGAGCTTAAGATTTTCAAAGTACTAAAGGGGGGAAATCATTGCCCACCCCCAAATCACTACACCCAGTGAAGTTATTCTTTAAAATGGAGAAGATATAAAGATATTCTCAGACAAAAAGCTGAAATTATCTCTCTGCCAAATAGAGAGTCCTTCCAAAAATGCTAAAAGGAGTTCTCACACAGAAATAAGTGATAAGATTAAGAAGGAAACACTGGAAGGTATAAAACTTACAGATAAGATAGTATTATAAACATGGTATGCAAACCACTCATCTCTTTAGGGTGAGGACTGAAAAACAAAGCTGGGCATGATGGCACACACCTGTAATTCCAGCACTCTGGGAGGCTGGGGCAGGAGGATCGTAAGTTTGAGCCAAGCTTAGGCAACTGAGTGAGAGCCTTTCTCAAAATTAAACCAAACCAAACCAAACCAAACCAAACCAAACCAAACCAAACCAAACCAAACCAAACGACATCAGATGCTGCATTATGTTAACAGACAGGCAATATAGGAAACAGGCAATATGTAAAATGGAGTATCAAACATTTAAAATATAGGAGGAAATGAAATGAGTTTTTTTTTTTTTTTTGAAAAAGTATGTATTTCTCCTCTATTATATTCAGTAGTTCTGGAGCTTAAACCTAGGACCTCATGCATGCTCATAACTGCTTTACCACTGAATAGTATCTCTAGCTCTGTTTCTTTTTGTCTTTAAGATCAAGTTATGTTACTAACACAATAGTTTACTATTACTAAAAGCTGCTTTTTGCAAGTATTACGGGAACCACAAAGCAAAAAACTAAAGTAGAGCAACCAAAATAATAACGGATCAAAACATACTAGTTTGAGGCCAGCCTGAGCTACAGTGAGTTCAAGGCCAGCCTGAGCTACAGAGCAAAACCGTCTCAACCCCGCCCCCCTCAACAAATTGCACCCTAGACCAAATACATCTAACAGACATCTACAGAACATTCCATCTAACAACTGAAAAACCCGTATTTTTTCCAATGGCACGGTGGCACATTTTCCTAGATAAATTGTATAAAAGGCCACAAAACAAGACTTGACAAATTTAATGAACATCAAGATCATATTGCGTATCTTTTCTAGCCATCATATAGTAACATTAGAAATCAGTGAGAAAAAAAAAAAAAAAAAGGAAACAATGCAAGAGCTTGGAAATTAAAAAGTTTACTCCCAAACCACCAATGGATGAAGGAAGGAATTAAGAAAGAAAATAAAAAATCTTGAACATGTAAACAGAACATACACAAAACTATGAAATACAGAAAAAGCAGTACTAAGAGAGAAATTTACATCAACCAGTGCTTACATAACCAAAGCAGAAAAATCTCAATCTATTACTATATCTCAGGAAATGAGAAAAATAAAAACAAATCAACCCTAAAATCAGAACAAAAATCAGAGCAGAAATAAATGTAGTAAGAGTAAAAAAAAAAAAAAAAAAAAAAAAAAAAGATTAACAAAACAAAATGGGTAACAGAGATTGGCAAAAGTTCAGCTAAATTAAGATAGAAGGGTTAAATATACAATCAGAGATGAAAATCTGTATCATTATAACTGATAAACACAAAGCATCAACAACTAACTATATGCCAACACATTTGATAACCTAGAACACATATACAAATTCCTGGACATAAACAGCTTACCAAGATTGACTCAAAAAGAAACAGAAATCCTAAACAGACCAATGATAAATAAGAGGATGATTGGCAATAGAAAGTCTCCTGAAAAATAAAAGCCCAGCACTAGATGGCTTCACTGATGAACGGTACCAAACAGTGAAAGAACCATTTTGCTTAAATTATACCCAAGCACTGAAGAGGAGGGAATTCCTTCCCACATATTCTACATGGTCAGCATTACCCTAATATCAAAACCTGAAAAGGACACAACAACAAAGAAAACGAAAGGTCAACATGCTTGATAAACACAGAAACACAAATCCTCAGAGGTGGAGAGTATAGTTCAGTTGTACAGCTCCTACCTAACACGTGTGAGGTCTGGGTTCAATTTCCACTCCCCCTCTCCTCCCCTCTCCCCTCTTCTCTCTTAGATCTGGAACAAGACAAGGATGACCACTTTTTATTCAACACTACACTAAAGAGAGAAAAGGAAAATGGAAAAAGTTGGTGGGCATGGTGGTACATGCCTGTATTACCAGTGTTCTGGAAGCTGAAGCTGATACAAGAGGATTGTTGAGTTAGTGGACAGCCTGGCCTACATGGCAAGTTCAGGGCCAGCCTGGACAACATAGTGAGACCTTATCTCAAAAAAACAAAACAAAACAAAACAAAAACTGTATTCACTCCAGTCAATTAATATTCATCCCAGGGATGCATGGATGGTTTGATATATAACCATTAAAGTGGTAAAATGTATCAATGGACTCCAGAATAAAGACCATATGATCCTCTTGATATATGTAGAAAAGGCATGGGGAAATTCAACAACTTTTCATGATAAAAAATGAATAAATTACATATAGAAGGAGTGTACTTTAACAAAAGAAAAGCCCTATGTGATAAACCCACACCTAACATATAGAATGGGGAAAAGTTGAAAGCTCCCCGTCCTGTATTTTGTGGTGCTGAAGATCAAATACAGATCAACTCCTTATGCATGCTAGCAAGCACTCTACCCCTGAGCTACGTTATCAGCCTTATTTTCTCTCTAGGATCTGGAACAAGACAAGGATGACCGCTTTTATTCAACATAGTACTGAAAGTCCTAGCCTGACTAATCAGGTAAGAGCATCCAATTGGCAAAGAAGTCAACAAATTGTCACTGTTTGCAGGAGATACAAGTTTATGAATATAGAAAAAAATGAATAAATATAGAAAACATTAAAGACTCTGCCAAACACTATTACAATTAATAAATAAACTCAGCAACTGTTGGATACAAAATCAACACATGAAAATCAGTAGCACCACTCTAAGTCAAGAACAAGTTATCTGAAATAGAAACAAAGGCATCAATGTTATTTATAATAGCTACAAAAACAATGAAATACCTAGGAATAAATTTAACCAAAGAGGTGAAGTACCTCCATCATGAAAACTATAAGAAGCTGGGCGTGGTGATGCACACCTGTAATCCCAGCACTCAGGAGGCTGAGGCAGGAGGATCGTTGTAAGTTCAAGACCAGTCTGGGCTACAAAGTGAGCTCAAGGCCAGCCTGAGCTGCATAGTGATACCCTGTCTCAGAAAGACAAAAACAAAACAAAAAAACCCAAACAAGCATCAAAAAAACCCTATAAGATACTGATGAAAGAAATGGAAGAGAACACAAGTAAATGGAAAGACACGGATGTTCATGGATTGTAAGGATCCCTATTAAAATGCCCATATTTACCTAAGAAATGTACAGGTTGAATGCAATCTCTATTAAAATATCAGTGATGTTCTTCACAAAACTAGAAAAAACAAATCTGAAATTTATAGGGAATCACAAAATACCACAAGTATCAAAGCATCTTGGGAAAAAATAAAGTACAAGGCATTGTATGACTTCAAAAGTACTAGAAAAGCTGTAGCAATCAAAAACAGCACGATACTGACATAAAACAGACACAAAGACTAATGGTCCAGAAGAAAGCCTATAGGCTTATAAGTTATAAGTGAACACAAGCATCTACAATTCATCTGTCAATTCATTTTCCACAAAAGCACAAAGAACACACACTGGAGAAAGGATGGCCCTTTCAATAAATAGCACCAGAAACATTGGATATCTACATGCAGAAGAATGAAACAAGACCCTCACATCTCACCAGTTACAAAAATCAACTCTAAATGGATTAAAGACTTAAGACCCCAAACTCTGAAACTACTGAGGCTATCCCTCTGGATGTTGGAATGGGCAAGGGTTCTGTGGATAAGATCCAAAAAGCACAGGAAATGAAAGGAAAAAGACGCAAATAAGACTCCACCAAAGAGAAAAAAATAATCAATAGAGTGAAGAGAATGGGACCAAATGTTTGTAAACTATCCATCTGATATCAGGTGAACATCCAGAATACATAAAGAACTCTAATATATGAAGAACTCCAAAGTCAACAGCAAAAACAAAACAAAGCTAAACAACAACCTCCAACAACAACAACAACAACAACAACAACAACAACAACAACCCCCATCTGATTAAAAAAATTGGAACTCTAACCTGGGCACCGTGGCACATGCCTGTAATACTAGTACTCTAAAAGGCTGAGATAGGAGGATCACGAGTTCAACTCCAGATTAGGCAACTTCACAAGACCCTGTCACAAACAGACAAACAAACACAAAAAAAACCACAAGGCATTTCTAAAAAAAAAGACACAAAATGGCGAATAGGTATATGAAAACATGCCCAACATCACTAACCATCAATGAGAAACCAATCAAAGGCACAAGGTAATGCTTCACTCTAGAAAGAATGGCTACTATGAAAATATTCAAGATAACAAGTGCTAGTGAAAATGTGAAGAAGGAACCTCCATATACTGTTAGTAGGGATATACATGAGTAAGGCAGTATGAAAAACCGGAAGAAGGTTCCTTAAGAAATTAAAAACTGAACTACCATGTGATCTATCAATCTAGTTACTGGTTTGGTATCCAAGGGTAATGAAATCAATATTCTGAAGAGACATCTGTAATCCCGTATTTATAACTGTACTATCTACAACAACGAGAAACAGAAACAACCTAGAGTCTACCTGACTGATGATGATGGATGAAGAAAATGTGGTATATATTCAAGATGGAATACTATTCAACCACAAAAAGGATGAAAGCCTGTCATTTGTGATAACATGGATAGAACTGGAGATCATTATATTAGGTGAAACAAGCCAAGCACAGAAAAACAAGTACTGTATAATCTTATATGTGGAATCTAGAAAAGTTGTTCTCATAGAAGCTGATAGTGGAAAATTAGTTGCCACAGGCTTGGAGGTAAGTATTGGCAGAGGTTGATCAATGAATATTAAGTTGCAGTTTGATGGTAGTATTAAGTTCTGTTTTGCCTTTGTACAGTATGAAGACTATAGATAATGACAATGTACTGTATATCTCAAAAAACTAGGCAAAAGTTTGAATGTCTTCACTGAAAGAAATAAGTGTTTGAGTAGAGAGATACCTTGAACTTTTAATATTACACAATATATAAACATCAAGACATCACACATCCCATTTTTATGTAATAGTTTAAATTTATAAAAAAGCTTTTCAAACTACTCTTCGCATCCATACTCAGTACCTCTCATTATCTTATTATCCCGTCTTAGAGGCTGAAATAATCTTGTTTGTGTGCATGTTTATGTTGTGTTTCCATGTAGAACACTACTTGACCTTATTATGAGCTTAATGAACACTTTTTTTCCCCCCCCCTTTGGTACTGGAAACTAAATTCAGACCTTTGCTGTGAGCTATGTTCCCAGCTCTATTTTTATTTTCAGACAAGGTCTCGACAAGTTGCTGTTTTGCTCAGGGCTCTTACTGGCCATCCTCCTGTCTCAGCTTTGCAGGGTGCTGTGTTTACAGGCATGCACCAACATGCGCAGCTCAAGTTAATCTTCTTGAAATAAGTGAGATAAAACAAAATAAAAGTAAAATGAAATTAATGTAGAAGTACAGAAATGACCACACAATGGCTCAGCCAGTGTTCACACATCTTTCAATTAAAGAATGAGAATCACTTCTCTTTGTTAATTTCATTTTGTAGATTCTAGGATTCTGAAAGTGAGCAGTTGAAGGAGTAACTATAAAAGCTGGAAAGAAAACTACAGTCCTTTAAAACAAAGCCGAAATTATCAGCAATAATTATATCTAGATGAATAAAATTTTTTTTTAAAAAAATAAGCACTTCAAGTTTCAATGGCATCATTATAAAAACCACTTCTATTAGAATTTGCAACTTACACAGTCTTTTTGTCCTGTCGAAGAAGTTTAGAAGAAAATTCACTTAGTACTTCAAGAAAAGCCAGATTAGGAGGTGGATATTCTTGTCCTTTCTGATTTTGGTATTTAAAGGCAAACTCTATGCCATCCCTGAAGTAAAACAAAACAGCACCTTATTTTTCCATACAGCCAGTTTTACGAAAACATTTGGGAAGGTAGTGAAATCTCAGTGAAGGAATTAAAATCTGGTAAATTCAAATGGCAAAGTAATTAAATTTTTATAATGTATTTTTATATATTTAATTATTTACAGTACAAATTTTAAACTACAAAGAATAAGAATAGCTATACAGCAACAAAACTAAATGTCTATATGCATCTCTTGGTGGTAATACTGTATACTGGAAAGATAATGTCAAATTTGCTTCTTGAGGTAGTCACGGTACCAAATAACTGTGAATTTACTTAAGATTTTCTGTTGCTTGCTTTTCACAGTATTGTATGGTCTTTTGAAACACAGGTTTCTTTCAGCATTTTCTTACTGACAGAGAAGACAAGAATGATATTAAATTTTCCTTTCTATAGTTTACAAGATGAGAAAAAAATAGGTGGCTTAAGTTTTTTCTTCTTCTTTTTGGCGATGCTCTAACCCATGGTCTGGCATATGCTAGGCAAACATACTACAACTAAGCTACATCCACAAGCCAGTAAGTTTTTTAAAAAATAAAATATCCCATACTAGTTGACACTCTAAATGAGATTAATTAAAGTTCTTATAACTTGAAAATTTTATCACTTGTCACTTTAAAAATGGGTCAAACAAGTTACTTCAATCAACTTTCAGTAAACTAGATTCTGCAGACCAGAAAGTTTTGATTTATCTCACTCACTTGTGAAGTGGAAAGTTTTGATTTATCTCACTCACTTGTGAAGTGTGGCAACTGCTTCTCGTGTCTTGATCTGGTCCAGTCCAAATGTAAGGGCAAAGCGCCGTGCCAATTCTTTAATGCCACTGACATGGGCAGATGTCCTATCTAGGTTGGGACCTTGTTCTTGAACAAGTTCATTAAACAACTGATAAAAAGAAAAAAGGAAAGGAAAGAACCTACAGTTATAAAATTTTAAATTTTGTTTACTTTTATTTTTTGTTGTATTTTTGAGACAGGGTCTTGCTGTGCAGTTCAGGCTGGCCTTGATCTCACTTTGTAGCCCAGGCTGGTTTTGAACTTGCAAAGATCCTCCTGCCTCAGCCTTCTGAGTGCTGGGATTACAGGCGTGCACCACCACGCTCAGCTAAATTTTGTTTACTTTTAAAATCGGTAATATAATTTAAAAATATGTGAAAGGTGTAAAATGAAGTAAATGTTTCTCTCCTATATTAAACTATAGACATTATTTACTTAGTCATTTAATATTATTAATCTGAGTCAATTTCATGCTAGTGGTATGACTAAATGAATTTATTTTTAATAAGTTTTTAAAAGAATATATTTGGGGATGGGAAAAGGAAATGTATTTACAGACATATGCTACACATTTAAAACATTCATATATTCTTTTTATTTTTAGATCTATGCCAGTATATGAAATACAAGGTTCAGAACTTTGTTTTTTTTTCTTACTGTATTATAGATAGGAACAATATATTAAAAATCCACATATATTTGGGTATATAAAGCTGTGATTTTTCATCACCCAATAACAAAATTGTATTTTATTTTATTTTATTTTATTTTATTTTATTGGTTTTTCTCCGGTACCGGGAACTGAACTCATGACCTTGCGCTTGCCAGGCAGGCGCTTTTGCCGCTGAGCTAAATCCCCAGCCCCAAAATTGTATTTTATTTGTTCAAACATTCTTATGGTGTGCAGAGTTTTAGAAGTTATATATATGGTATGAACATTCTGTCAAAATAACAAAAACAAAATCCCAGAGTACTAAAATTAGAAACTTAGCCGTTTCTGTATAAACCCACCTTCCCTCCTATTATGTGGGGTAAACTGTCCAGACTTTCATCTAAAGCCAGTCCCTGTTTATATACTGGAAAAGAAAGAAAATCATGTCGCTTTACCTACTCAAGAGTTTTGCTCCTGTTCTTACTCCTTTCTCTTGCATCATTAATAATTTCTTTTCTACTAAATGCACACATCTTAAAAATATCCCTAACTTCCTGACCCCATTTTATCTGCCAGCTAAGAACCCATTTCTGTGATTCCTTTTATGGCACAGGTCCTGAATGTATTGTTTACATCTGCTTTGTTTGCTGTTTCTCACTTTGTTTACATTTTCATTTTTTTAAACTTTGTTTTCCTTACTCTTAGGCCCTGGTAACCGTCCTTCTACTCTTTCATTCCCTCAATCCACTCTAATTATACCTGAAATAGCTCCTGTGTTCTACTGTACTGTCCTTTTTAGTATTCTTCAGCAATGCATTGGCCTGAACTAATTCCAGGGCCATTATTAGAATGAATAGAGATTTTTTTTTTTTTTTTTTGTCTTTTCTTCCGGTACCAGGAATCAAACTCATGACCTGCAATTGCCAGGCAGGGGCTTTGCCACTGAGCTAAATCCCCAGCCCTGAGATTTTCATATTAATGCAGAGATAATTGTTTATAAATTTTAAAGCTTTGAACTGTTTTCATAGTTAATACATAAGAGCCTTAAACTTTAAAGATTTTATTTCAAGTACATTCACTTCATTGGAAAGTGACCACATTTCATTGTAAATAAAAATTCAAGGAATATAAAAGTGTAAGTTCTTTCTCTCTGCTACCAAATAACATTCTCCTCAATAAAGATAACCAATGTCAAAAACCTGAGCATTTTCTAGATCAGTTTATATATATATATACACACACACATACATATAAGTTCCTATATTGATTCGTTTGCTTTTGATTTTTGAGATAAGGTATCTCTAAGTAGTCCATATAGGCCTTGAATACCTGGTGATCCTCCTGCCTCAGACTCCTGAGTGCTGGAATTACAGGTGTGCAACACTATACTTGGTAGTTTTAATTTTTAAATTAAAGTGATAGGGCAAGACAGACTCCATGTAATTCTATTTTAGAAGCTCCTTGAACTTTTGATAAACTCAATTCTCTACTCCCTCCCTTATAGCTAACAACCGGAGAACAGAGCTATAAAATGAGAACCAAATAGTTAAAACAAATTGTAGGTCAGCTAAAATTTAACCATACTAACAAACTCCTGGGAAATGTAAACCTTGTGACCAGATGTGGCACTTTTGTAAAATTCCTAAATGAGGTAATGTGGTTACCATGGTTACTTGTAAAAGTATAAAAACCCAATACAAAGTTCTCTGGTCACCAATATCTTGTTTTTCTGACTCTTGATCAGTCATATGCTTCAATAAAGCTTTGTTTGTTCCCACATTTTTGGCTTCTCCTGAGTACCTACCACGCTGAATCTCGCCGTAACAGAAGTATCACACTGCAATGATACCTTGGTACTCATTAGTTGGTTCCTAGAGGTACCATGAGTACCAAAAATGACAAGTATCAATGTGTTCTGGTTGGTAAGGGTCGTGGGTCATGAAGCAATGGACAGTGACAAGTTCTAGGTTATGCATCGAGTACCAAGTAAACAATGAGTACTGAGTACCAGGACAAAATTTTTGTGTCAAAATGAATCCAGTACCAAATCTGATGAGTTTCAAAATATCTAGATATGATGGTACTTATTTTGTCTGAAACTTGCTACTTTCCACTTAATATCTTGTCCTGGAAATTAACACTGGGTGTGGTGATGTGTGCCTGTAGTTCCAAGGAGCCAAGACAGTTAAGAGGCTGAGGCAGAAGCAGTGTTTGAATCCAGCAGCTAGAGGCCAGCCTGGGCAACATAGCAAGACTTCATCTCAAAAGCCTCAAGAAACCAAAAAAGCTCTACTTCAGAGTATCAGTTTACTGTAACCTTTCCTCTACAGGAGAACACTTAGACTATTTCTAGTTTTTGTCCCACTATTACAGAGATTACTGCAATGAAACATCTTTTATATAACTATTGTGTGCATACCTGCATGTATGTATGTAGATATGCGGAAGCAAAATTGTTAGTTTAAAAGGAACACCTTAAAATTTGAAACATACAATACTGTCTTCTATAGAGAAAGATGTGGCATCTTTGAAAGGGAACTCTTCTCCACATTCTTACCATTTATTTCAATTCGTGCAATCTATGGAACAATGATAAATATCTCCTGCTTTACTTTATATTGCACTGATTATTAATAAGGCTATGCCTCTCTTCATGTATATTGGTTAAGTTCCCTTCTCTAAAAAATGCTCTTTTCATATTTGCTCACTTTTTCTTTCTTAGTGATTTTTAGGCTTTATTATGTATGAACATTTCCCATCTGAGTTTTTCCCCTGAGTATAGTTTTAGTACAGCTGAACTGGGGCCTTTATACTGAACTACATCCCCAGTCTTTTTTTTATTTTTGAGACAGGGTCTCACTAGTCACTAAGTTGCCCAGTATTGGCTCAAATGTGTGATCCACATGCCTCAGCCTCCCAGAGCAGTGGAGTTACGGGCTGACTTTCTTTCAAACTTTGTGCTGACTGGTATACAAAACTATTTAAGTTTATGTACTTAAGTTCATATGGTTCAGTTTTTTGCTTTGTAGTTTCTTTAGAAAGAGGATTTTACAAATATCCACCCCCACCTTTTTTGGTTGATACAGAGTCTTAGTAGCTCAGGTTATCTTGAAATCACTACGTAGCTCAGGGTTTTTAAGACAGCTATTTCCCAAGTACATAGTCAACTGACACTTCACTACTTACTGAATACTCCTTATCCTTACCCCACTGACTGGAACAACACCTTTATCAAAAGTGAAATGCATGTGCTGTACATGGACATGCTCATTGCTGTAGGCTCTTTGACATCTATTTCAACTGACTAGACACACATATACTAGGAATCTTATTTCTGGAATTGTACATGTAACGTATTTTCTTACTGGGATATTACTGGTGTTCATTTCTCATTAAATATTTAGCTTAAAATTTAACAATTTTTTTCTCTACGTTTGACATTTCTAGTCTATTAATAGATCACCCTAGGATTCTGTCTATTTGAAATGTGAACCAGAGGATTACCTTCCAAAAGAAAGGACAAATAACCTACATCTTTGCACCAGAGTACCCACAGTATTATGCTGGTAAAATAAGCTAGTTTAAGTGAGAAAAGATTCCTAAAACATACTAAACACCAGAATACCACTCTCTGAATCTCAAATACTCTTCTTGGAGTCTCCCTTCCCTCCCAATTTCTTACCTGCTGCAAACTCAGAATGAGAGTCTTGGCACACTGAATTTTGTCAATCTGCCTGGTTTTACTTAGTGTTTCCTTAATAATATCACCATAGTCATTGTAATACTGTGAGGAAAAGAAAGTGTAGTTTTAAAATTACCGAAATTCCATGAGTTAAAGAATGAATGCTAACAGAAAGATGACTTTAAGTGTTTATTTTCTTCATCTTAAACCTAGTAAGAAATTATTTTGTTTAAATTTAGAAGAATACATATTTGATATTTAAGATTATGCAGTGACTAATACTAAAAATAAAAAAGCTGGGAACATGTACCAACTCCCCACAACGAATGCAATCAGTATGTACTATAACTTTGTACAAAACAACATCGCAACAACAACAAAAAGTAAAAAACAAAAGTTGGAAATTGCAGTAGGAGAGAAGGTGATATAGGTGAGAAAAATCCTTTATTCTAACTAAAAGACCATAACAGATGTCATCTAAAAGGTGACAAATTAATAAACTGAACTTTATTAGGAACTGCCTGATGAACTGAAACCAAAACAGTTAAAACTGCTTACTTCTGTAGATTAAGCCTCAACTGGGATGGGGAGGTCAGATTAGGGTAACAGATTTAACTTTTCATTTAATATTTTAGGACACTAAAGTAGCTGAGTTCATAGATCTTTTATAAGATTAGAGCTGAACTGATCATGTATACAAGTGGGGAAGGGCCACAAAGCCAGATATCAAGAGTGTCAAATAGCTATTAGAATACTCACAGTTTGTAATGACTACATAGAATCATGTAATTTGCAGTAACTATAAGAATCATGCTGAGGCTTTGAGGTCCAGTGAAAAAAGAGCTACACTTTCAAGCTAGACAATAAAATCAATTCCCAGCTTTTGCTATTTTAATAGTTATATAACTTTGGGAAAGTTAATCTTTCTAAGCCTTAGCTTCCTTATGAGTAAGTGAAGATATTATCCCTTACCTGAAAGGATTATTGTAATGATCAAAGACAATGTAAAAACCTTATGAGTGTCTCAAATATAAATGGCACAGAATGAATGACAGATATTCACTAACATGCTACCTTATGTTTACTGAAATGGTTTTGTATTACTCTGTCAGCTCCAGGGAACAGAAATCATGTCTTATATAAACCTCTGGCTACCAGTACAGTGTTTATCACGCTGCAGCTGTTCAGCAAAATATGATGAATTACCTACTATAGTTCAGTATCCCTTATATGAAATGTTTGGGATCAGAAGTATTTTACTCAGATATAAGAGTTTTCGGATTTTTGAAATATTTGCACAGACTTCACTGGTTGTGCATCCCCAAAATAAAAGATCCAAAAATCTGAAATGCCTCCAAAACTGGAGGCATTTTGAATGTTCTAGTGCTCAAATACTTTTAGATTTCAGATTAAGATTAGAGATGTTCAATTTGTATATCAGAACTGGAACTGGACCATACCCAAACATGCATGAAGATATGTAAGTAGATCAAACGGCATATATAATATTCTGAACATAAACAGAACAGAACGTTCTCTCTGATACGAGAACAAGGTAGATAATAAACTTTCCCATCTGTACTTAGAAGCATTCTGAGTATTGTTCTTTCAGAGGGCTGGAAACAAAATGCAGCTTACGGAAAAGAAAGCAACCATAACGTGAGGATGTTTTTCATATAAGCTCTAAGAACTCCTAGTCTATGAAACAGATGGAGTGGCACACACTGATAAAGAATTTATACTTACATAAAGGAGAAACTTTATCAGAAAATTATCACAAAACATGGGTCAAAGCTGTCAATTTTAGCTTCTGTTATCCATTCATTTTAATTCTACCACTTAGAAGGGTGAACAAAAAATATGAAAACTATACCTTCATGTAGTGTTTAAAGATGTCTGCAGCTGCATGCATGTCAACAATATCATAAATGATAAGTTTGCTGAAGGCAGCAAGTAGATTCCTTCTTTTATGTAAGGCCTCAATCTTATTAGCTTCATCTTCTTCATCACCCTCTAACAACAGAAAATAAGTCAGTTGTGAATTATGGTCCTTTATCTAAGTAAAATAATGCAGATAATCTGCATAATGGAAAACTGGCTAACATAATATCTTCACAAACAGGTACAATTCAGTTTCAAATGAGACAAAAACTATTATACTAATAATTTCATTTTTTTTAAAAAAAGTTTATTGGTCTTTTAATTGGCTCAAATTGTAAATAAACCAATTGGGTAGTGGAATCAGCCTAAGACACATGATGCACCTTTGTCAGTTGGGTTTACAGTTTAGAGTTCTATTTTGTTATCCATTTACTGATTCTTAATAGGCACCAAGATATCCTTGTGTAAGATTATTACAGCAAAGGGTAAAGATAAACAAATCATATATTAAGGGATTCTTTTTCCAAAACTTTTGTCAATAGAAATATTGTCAACTTCTCTTTTCATCTTAAAAATGCTCTTCTAATTCCTAATATATTCCTGTATAGAAGAAACTTGTGAAATTTTTGAGATATAACCAGTTTTCTTCTAGGAAAATGGGGAGTCATGGAAACACATGGAACAGTTCACTTTCAGTGCTTGTCCCAAACATGTCACATTAGTAGTTGAAAAACAGAATGTATCCTGCAAACCATACTAAGCACTCAGATCTTATGGATTATCTATTTGTAATTGTATAAAATGCTCCCTATAAGGCTCCAGCTGTAACATTTATTTCAGGTTCTGTATGACTTTCATATCCTGACCTACCCTTACGTAGCATTAGGCTTCTTTCTCCTTTTCTTTACACACACACACACACACACACACACATACACACACACATATTCACAAAAGAATTTATAGATTCAGTATTTTTTCCTTTCCTTTTACTAATTAGCCTTATTATGAAGCATCCATGTTTTGAGAAGTTGAAAATCTTTGTACTTAAGCAGGTAAATTTTGTTTCCTGAGATTAATAAAAAAAATACTCTGTTCCACTGTCCAGTATTTTCTGAAATACTGTTTAGATTTTTAAAAAGTAGTTGTGGAGATTAAACCCAAGGCTTTGCAGATGCTAGGCAAATTCATTATCTACTTTGTTCTCGTATCAGAAAGAATGTTCTGTTTTGTTCATGTTCGGAATATTGTGTATGCCATTTGATTTACTTACATATCTTCATGCATGTTTGGGTATGGTCTAGTTCCAATTGTGACATCAGATTGAACAAATTGCAGATGCTAGGCAAGCATCTGTAGCACCACTGAGATGCAACCCTAGCCTAATTAAAAAGAAATTCTAATAGTATTACATAGATGTGTGGATCAGATATGCCTCTTACACTATTTTGAAGCTTAGGTCATCTATTTCCAAGTAACCTAAATAGTTCACAGCTAACCATTAACAATTCAGTCTAATTTTGCTAAGTTACTGTTTTGAAGACTCAGCAATTCTGACTAATAATGTCAGCCTTGATAATCTTTTAGCACTTAATAACTTAAATAACATCTAGTCTACATATACATTTGCACAAGTGAGAAACGATAAATGTATATGATCAACTATTACATTGGCAGTATCCAAGGTGAAGACTGGAAACTACCAGTATATGTCTGTGAATGTGAATTGTATTATAGAAGTTTAACTACACAAAGCAATATTACATGGTCATTGGAAAAAGAATAAGGAAAATTTCTGCTTAATGACTGGAGAAGAATAGGAACATACTTTAGAGGACAGCAATATCATTATATACATTTTTATTCTTGTGGGTTTCTAAAATGTATGAATTTTTTACAATTAACTTCTTTAAGGAAAGAAATCTCAATAATTTTTAGGATTAAATGTAATTTTTCCCCCTCTTATCTTTTATCTGGTACTGGAACTTGAACTCAGGACCCACTGAGCTATATCCCCGGCCCCCCTCTTATCTTTTAGGTTGATAAAACAAGATCAATATTGATAAGACAGTGGCTATAAATACCCATGCTTTGATTCTCCTCATCCTGATCAATAAAAACATGATCCATCACGAAACTCAGCAGTTCAGACTGAAGTCCTGTATCTGGATTAAACACCAAAGGCTGAAGGCCCTCTCTGCCACCTGTCATTAACTGGTGGCTAAAAATCATCAAAAGATCACAGAGTAACATGAAAGCCTAGAATGCAAAGGAAATCCATTAGCAAAATAGTTTATGAATACAGATATAATTACAAACCAGTGTGAATGAAAACATGTTAAAAATGTAACATAGTTCAATGCAATACTACAATATAAATTTGAAGTATTTAATTTTAACTTTTAAATTTCCCAACCTGATAAAACTTTTTCCTCACTGAACACTGGTCACATTTAAAAACCCTCGCCCCAAATATAATCTATTTCTTTTCCTTTGCTGTATTGACTCAAAAACAGTCAATCGAGAAATTTTTTACTGGACTTTTGTTTTTAATCTCATCTGCTAGCCTGTGTCTTTTAACTGGAGAAATAAGATCATTTACATTCAGAGTTATTATAAAAAGGTATGTACTTTTTAAAATTTTTTTTTCCTATTTGAGACAGGGTCTCACTACGCAGCTCAGGCTGGCCTTGAGCTCGCTTTGTAGCTCAAGCAAGGATCCTCCTGCCTCAGCCTGGGATTACGAGCATGTGTCACACACCCATCTTAAAAAGGTATGTACTGATTCCTGACATTTTCTTGTTTTTCTAATGTTTGAGTCTCTTTCAATTCTCAACAGTTTGTCTAATCTTCCTCTGTGTTTTCTGCAATGGTGGTTTAGTGGTCATGAATTTCATTAGTTTCTGCTTATCTATCAATCAGGAGATTTTGACTTGAAGTTAAAAAAAAAGAAACAACTCTGGAAATAAAACATTGATATACCACATTATGACATATGTTAGAAATCATTTATATACTGCTTAACCAATTAGCATAAGCTTTAAGATTAAACTCTACAATTCAAAACATCATAATGTAATAGTCAAAAGACCTGTAAGCTAATTTCAGTTGTTTTTTAAAAGAGCTAATATTAAAACTATTTAGTAGGCTTAAAACTGAATTCCAGAACGTGTGTGTATGTGTGTGTGTGTGTGTGTGTGTGTGTGTGTGTGTGTGTATAAAACAGTATCTAAAAACCTCTCAACAAATTCAATCTTAAGGTAATTGACAACACATTTCAACAAAGCCAAACTATTACATGTATGTTGGCAAATTTTTCCTATTTAAGTAAATGGTGTGAAGTAAACATGTGTTATCCCATTTAGAACAACTGAAAGATTTTGTTATGGTATTATTGAGAACTCAAAACAAGCCACTAACACTAATCCTCTAAAAGTTTATTCCTAGGTGAAAATCACAACTTTGGCATTTATTTGGGGACGGTATATATTTGGTCATCCAACTCTAGCAAGAATCATGGTAGTTCATGCCCTCACTGCACAACCATCAAAATATATATGTTAAGATATTTAGGAGGAGCTATTTGAAAAGGAAATATACACATATATTATGTATGTATATTCATTTGTGTAGATCAGTGGTGGTGAACCTACAGCATGTGTGTTATGTAAGACAAAGATGTTAACATATGCATCATTTTTTCTAAACTAAAACCTCAGTATTCAGGTTTAATTGCAGTGTTGCCACTTTGGAACAAGTAAGTGGATTTGGATTGCAGTTTGGGCATTTATCTCTAAAACATTCACCATCACCGATGCAGATGAATATACAGAGTCTACCAAAATAATATATATGTCAGAAAAGAAAACCTTGTATAAATATTTTAACATTAAATTTATTGAGACATCATGAGATTAATACAAGTCATCTTTGGGCTCTACAAGACGTGCTCAAAGTGGTTGTCATTAGCTTCCAGACCTTTATTAGTATGGCAAACTGGAAGTGTATATACAGTTTGGAGGGGGGCTTGCTCGTACCTGCTCTCCCTCCCCCTCTCTCTCTACATATATGTGTGTGTGTGTGTGTATATATATATATATATATATATATTTTTTTTTTTCCCCCCTTTTAAAATAAACAGGGTCTCTTTATGTAGTCAGGCTGGCCTTGAACTTACTATGTAGCCCAGGGTGGCCTCAAACTCACAGCAATCTTGCATGCTGGGATTATAGCATGCTCAGCTACACCTGGTTTGAGGGGAATATTTTTTATTCAGGCCATTTTGGACATGGCCAAGCAGGTCTGATGTAAAAAAACTGGATTTGTGGTTTAAATGGCCAGAACTGCTACAGACAGTAGTTACTGGTGGGGTTCTGACAATTCAGAGAATAATATTTATGGAAGATCACCTCTGTTTTCATTTAAAGTTAAGTGCTGATAAAAGAAAACTTGTGACAACTTATTTGTCGGAAGGGAGAGCAAAGGATGAATAATACTGTAACCTTGAACTTGACCATCTAGACTCTTTTTTCTAGCCCCAAAATAAGAAACAGTATAGAAAGGAACATTTTGTTTGATATAAATATACTTCCTAATAGAAAAGTATGATTAAAGAAATAGCTTACACACAAATTACTTTAGGAAAATAGTGCTTTCCTGAGCCCTACTCAGAGTATTTTGGGGCTGTGCCCCTTCCCAAGGAATTAGGAAATCTACTTGAACAAAGAAACTTCCTTATGTGCACCCTGATCCTACACCAGTATCAAAGTACAAAGGTCCAGGAATTACTCACCCTACAGACCCTATCATATTGTCAAAGCCCGCAAAGGCCTTTTTCCTCACATACTGAGTCTCCAGTGTGTGTATTCTAGGACTCAGAATGGTTAGAGGGCAGCTACTTGAAAGGGTGGTGTGGAGAGTTTGAACAGGTAGGGAGAAGTGTCCATATGCACATTCGAGCAGCTTTTCCTGCTGTAAGGAGCTAAAAGTGAGATAAGATCATAGATTAGCTCCCTAAACTCTCAAGAGTTCTGACAAACAACTCTTAAGGGTCAAGAGTTCTACATTTGAGCTTCGTCTTCTCAGTGATGATAGTGTACTTACCAAAGTACAAAAATAGAATATACTTATATAACAAGATTGTTAGCAATATAATCTAAAATATTTACACATCTGTATGTGCTGGGTTAGGTCCTGTAAATGTTGGGGATGGATACGTATGCTAAGAATGGCCATAAAACTTTTCTTTTGTGCTGGGAATCGAATTCAGGACATTGTGCTTGCCAGGCAGGTGCTTGTGCCACTGAGGTATATCCCTGGCTCCTGTAAAACTTTTTATCATCTTTATGTTCATCCATACATTTGTGTTGTTTTCACTGTAAGCTTTTAACTGATAATTTCTTACCTGTTCCTTCACTGGAGTATTAACATTAGATAGGCACTGTTGGCAAACAGCCAAAAAGGATTTCACTGTTTTCCGCAACACCAACAAATCTTCCTGCAACATATTCAAAGATGCAAGCATGAATTACAGTGCCCTAGCAAACTGCCAAAAGAAATAATACAAAATAGCGAAATTGGTTTATTGTGAACAAAACTGTAAAGCCAAATTTATCACCGGGAGTCAGTCAGTGTAGTTATTTCTTAGTACCTGACCTAACAGAAAAGACAGCAAAACTGACAATGCCAGACATTCAGTTCTATTTAGTAATGGAATGGTCAGTGTAATTGCTCCTAACAGATTTTCCTTTATAAATGTGCTTTATATAGGGCAATATTAAAATTGTTAGTCATGTCTATATCACTAAGTGGAAGATAACCAAGCATGACAGCACAGTGAACAAATCACATAAGGAATATGCACTGAACTGCCATGTTCTCAACACACTGCACAAAGTTGCGGGAAGAAAGATAAATCTTCATTGCAGTTTGGGATTTAAGACTAGGTAGGTGAACAGAATTGGTCAGATGGCCAAATGATATTCCATAGGCAACATTTGAAAAGTATAAAGGAAAATTTCCTTTCCCATTTTTTTTTTTTTTTTTTTTTTTTTGGTGCTGGGATTGAGCCAATGGCCTTGGTATGCTATGGACTCCACCAATGAGCTCTAATTCTGCCACTGCAAGGAAAGTTAACTTTATCAAGCAACTACAATGTGTTAGACACTGGTTTGAAGGTTTTACTATTACATAATTTGACATTCATATGGATTCTATCACCAGGCTGATGGCATATGCCTGCAGATCCAGCACTTGGGAGGCTAAGGCTGGAGAATCACTTGAGCCTAGGAGTTCGAGACCAAGCTGGGCACCTAGAGATCCTCAAACAAATAGATGCACACAAAAACTCCCTTCAAACAAATAAGAAGAATATTCGGAGTCTAAAAAGTAGTCATTAATAGCAACGGTTTGAAAATAGGATTATCTGGTATTGCAGCTCATCTTTTCCTGACAAATGAGCAACACACAGGTACATAACCTAGTACTATACTGATGTTTTCAACAGTAATGAAGAGTAACTACCTGAGCAAAGGCACATGTAGAATGCATTTTATTTATTTTGTGGTACTAGGAGTTGAACCCAGAGCTTTCTCACTGAACTATATCCCCAGACCTTCATTTTCTTATTTCACTTTGAGACAAAGGAAGTCTTACCACATCATTAAGTTGCCACTGCTGGGCTCAAACTTGTGATCCTCCTACCTCAGCCTCCCGGAATGCTAGGATGGTCTAGAATTCACTTTTTAAAAAAGTACTCTACTATACTAAAATTATTTAAGCTATTCTTTTTTTGTAAAGATGATAGCACTTACTATTTTGGGATCTTTACAACCCAAATAATGATACTTCAAAAATTACACACATTTCCTTTTTGCTAATCTGAGTGCAAATATTTAGAAGAAGAAATGAACTCATTTTGTGCAGAGTACACTTATAAGGAGAACACTGTCTTGAGGGCCTTTAATATTCCTGGAGTTTCTTTAATTTCAAATATTCACAATACATTGGGGAAAACAGGTGAGGTACCATGCAAATACAATACAGTGTAAAAACCGTTTTTTCAGGAGACAGCATGGGCCCTACGCTGGAAAGCCCAACTTGAAGTCAGAAGTAGTTATAAACAGGTTCCCAAAGAAGGTAACATGTCCTGAAGGTAGGCCTACAAAGACAAATATTACCTAACTATTGACATAGGATTCCAGATAGGGTGCAAAGTGTTCAAAAGCTTGTGGATACTTTTAGGAAATTAGTATGAAGTGTACCTGGTGCATTAATAGGGAAGAAAGTGGCAAGAAAGAAAGCACAAGAAAATAGGATCAATTTCCATTTGGATGGAAAGCCATTTAAAATGCCATATTAAATCATTTGTGTTACTGAATAAGGAATGAATACGGAAAGTCATGAGTGGGCCAAAATTTTGTATACATGACTCATTTTCTAGAGACACGCATGCTGTAATCCTTGCACTCAGGAGGCTGAAGGAGGATAATACTGGAAGTTTGAAGTTAGCCTGGGATACATACTGAGTTTAAGGCAAGCCTGAAGTACACAGTGAGACATTGTCTCAAAACACACACACAAAAAACAAAAATCATATTCTGAACAAAATGGACAATGATGTGGAACAATGAGTTAGGGATAGATACAATCTTTTTTTTGACAGTTTACTGTGTATATCAAGTACTATGTTCTAAAATACAAATCTCATAATCACATTGTGTAACGAATGGTAGTATTCTCATTTAACAGACAAAGCACCTATAGATTCTAAAATGATAAGAGTGGGCCAGGGATACAGCTCAGAGGCACAAGAGCCTGCCTGGAAAGAACAAGGTCCTGAATTCAATTCCTGGTACCAAAAAAAAAAAAAAAAAAAAAAAAAAAAAAGAAGATAGAGTAAGGATCTAAACAGGAGGCTATATAATATTATGAAATATATACTTGGTCTCTGTCCATTTCCTGGCATACAACTCCTAAAATCTTTGGACCTTCCAAAGCGTTAAGTGTCTTTTTGTATTCTAAGGAGCTGACCTATCGTTGGTATCCCCAACATAGCTTCAGGCTGGGGTCTGGTAACTGGAAAGACCATGGCATGTTCAGAGGGGTTAAGCCTTTAAGTACCACTTCTCAACTGCCAGGGCGTGGAGGGGCTGGAGGTTGACTTGGTCACCAACAGACAGTGATGCAGTCCTGCTTGCCTAAATAATGAAGCTTCCATAAAACCTGCAGAAGATTAGTTTCAGAGAGCTTCCAGGGGTGTGTGATATACCTAGAGAGGGGATGGAAGCTCCATACCCCTTCCTTTATGCCCATTTTGGTGTCCCCTCTCATATCCTTTGTAAATAATTGGTAAATTTAAGTAAAGTGCTTCTCTAAATTCTGTGAGACACACTAGCAAATTAATTCAACCCAAGAAAGGTGTTGTGGGAATCCCGATTTATAGTCAGAAGCATAAATAAAACAACGTGGGACTTGAGACTGGCATTGGAAGTGGGAAGCAGTATCGTGGGATTGTGCCCTCAATTTGGGAGGGCCAACATTATCTCTAGGTCAGTAACATCAGGAATGAATTACAGGACACCAGCTCATATTCAATGTAGAAATGACAGACTTCCAGATGAGGAGACCTACTCACACTTCTGAGGTCACAAAAGTATTTTTGTGAAGTAGGAGAGAGAAAATAAAGATAGGCAGAAAGGAGACCAAAAAACCCCTAGCTTTATGACATGATCAAAGCTATCCAAGTTACTCACTCATTTATTCCCTAGGCCTGTTTCTTTTCTTCCAGGTCCATCACTCCCCAATTCCTAAGAACTCAAGAAACTTCATAAATACTTAAAGTTACATCAAAGACTTCTGTTTTGGAAGCTGGGGCTGCAGCTCAATGGTAGAGCTTTTACTGATCATGTTTTAGGTCCTGGGCTCAATGTCCAGCCACGTGTGTGTGTGTGTGTGTGTGTGTGTGTGTGTATGTGTGTATGTGTGTGTATGTATACAAACATACACTTCATTTTCAAAAGAAATAGTAAATAAAACTATTAAATGGATATGACATCTCTAAACTTCAAACACATATAGTTTATACTGTAACACAGCTGATAAAACCAATTTTTGTTTTAATCCACTATAGGGCAACAACCTTAAACAGAGATCTCAGGTAACTGATAAATGATTTTAAAAACCTCTTAAGGCAAAACATCTTAGATCACCCATCTTAAGCGAGCTAGCTACCTGGCCATCTATCTAGCTTTCTCTCTGTCGGTTGGTCCCTCCCTTTCAACCCCCTCCCATTTGCTCCATCTGTCTTTCTCTCTATACTTTGTGTGTACTGCCCTAACTCTGCCCTATAAATCAGTCTATGTCTCTCACTGCTGTGTCCTGAAAATATTTTCCGTGATAAATGTAAAGAACCTGTTTGGTCTGAGCTGAGTTGCCCATCTCCTTTGTAGAGGTAATTCCTTGGACCCTGTCTGGTGACAAAAGTATAGAATAAACTGGGTTTGAGCTTTTCTCTTCTATTCCTACCTTTTTTTAATTTTTTTTATTTTTTATTTTTCTCCGGTACCGGGAACCGAACTCACGACCTTGCGCTTGCCAGGCAGGCGCTTTGCCGCTGAGCTAAATCCCCAGCCCCCTTCTATTCCTACCTTTGATGGCAATGGTAGGGCTTGCTAGAACAGCTCTGGCTTATAGACACATATTATTTGTTAAGAGAAAGTATGAAAGGTGGAAGATAAACTATGATTACTGGATGACTACCCAGTTACTCACAGTAGGAAACTGCAGCTTTGCAGTACTCAGATACTAATGTAAAAGTTATCAGTGGACTACAGAGATGTGGTAGACTGAACTCCCAAAGGGCTGACATATTAAACATACAGGAAATACAAAAACACACTAAATAAAAATCCCTTGGTTATTGTTATCTGTAATAGCTAAAACATAAGTAAAAGAGAGCACTGATCCAGAACTTGAGGCTAGACCAAGCTAAGAAGTCACTTTGTCTGAGCTCAGGCCATTAGCCTCAAAGGCACCCATAAGGGCAAAGATACGCCAGGAGAAGAGAAAATACTTGTAAGACTTTTGGTTGCCAAGAAGGTAGTTAATGTTAGAGCAGGGAAAAATCAAGAAACTACTGAGACCAAAGGGTAGAGTGGGAGGCAAGTGTTTCATTTTGTAGTAGATCAGTATCCTTGGCTTCTAAGGAGTCTTAACAAAAACAGATTTTCAGAGTAACTCATTTCGGAGCAGTAGATTTGGATTTAAATGCAAGAGTGGGAAACAATGTCTGTGTTGATCCAAGACCCGCTGTTCACTAAGCAATAATGACTGATGAGGACATGTGATCCGGACACACAGGATATTATCCCCAAGGGAACAGCTAGCCTGTTGAACTAGATAAAAGCCCACTGTTAGGTCTCTTTATTCTGAGGACTGTTTAACTCCACCAACAGATAATAAAAGTGTTGAAGATGACACTTCAGATGAAGCAGCCTA